CTTCACTAAATGCTCAATAACTTCGTCTGGTATGAGAGAGTGTCGGAGATCCAGTTCTGTGACATAGGGCTGCAGGTGAAGTCAGGATAAATTTGTCAGAGATTAAAGAAATGCTTCACATACCTTGCCATCGGCAACTTCCTTGAAACTTTGGAAAACCTGTTCAGCAGTATTTTGATCTTCTGTCACGCTGACCATAAACCGAATAAACTGCTCGAAGCTGACTCCAGCATTCAGCGACAGTCGATTGACTCCACATACCTCCACATAAACCTGGTGCATCTCGTCCTCGTCGTAGACCAATCCCAGACTGGCCAGTGCTGCAGAGAACTCGAGCTCTTGAAGGGTGTTGGAAGAGTCGCGATCGAAATGGCGGAACACCGACTCAAACTCTTCTAATTGGATAGGAGTCAGGTTGGTCATGTTGCGAGCAACCATCTGGTTGTCGAGGAAAGCCAACTTCTTTGAAATGCTGGATTTGACGAGACTCAGCTCATACGCAAGCTCGTCCAAGGTGTACGTGGTGAAGTCGTTTTCTTCAATATTGGCCTCCACGCACTGTTGGTCCAATTCTGCGATACCATCGAGAAAGGCATCGAGGGGCGGCAAGTTACCGTTTAACTTTTTAACATGGTCAAGCTGGTCTTCAACATCACCATCCAGTCCGGAGATCGCCAGTGACAATGTTTTCAAGGTTAATGCGAAGTCATTCGCCTTATCAGCAAAGGAACGGCGTAGCTTGTTTTTGATGTCACGGATTGTTTCGTTTATAAGTTGACTACGTTCATGCTCGTCCCGGGTAAGGATCTCCCACTCTTTGTCGCAGTTTTCTGGACTCAGTTCTTGCGGGGGATCGTAAGGACGCAGTCGATATGTTCCCAACTTGGTTTTGATATTGCCCAGCAAAGCAGCTAGGTCAGATTTCTCGGCCACCCATTGCCGTTTCTCGGTCCGCTTGTAGAGCGAGAACTGATATGATTGCTCTTTGGCATCTTTGTATGTCCCCTCGAATGAGGAGGTCTTCCAGTGCTCGCGCTGGCCACGGATTAGTCGCAACAATTCCTTTACTCGGCGTTCATATGAGTTCTGCATATCCCATGCGCCGTGCATGTTGTTGACAAACTTCTCCACTCGTCGCCCAGCGTTCTCCACTCTTTCCAGTTGCGAGAAGGCGTGGAACCAGTAGGCGATGTAGGTCATGAGGGAGCGTTCGTCGGGTCTGGGTACGTCGCATACATCGTCCACATCAAGCAAGTCAGGGATGCCGATTTCGTTGGATGCGATCTCGAAGGCCAGCTTCATATTTCCACGGTGATCACTCTTATCTAACGAGTCGTAGTCAATCAAGTCCGGTCGGTGGATATCGAGAAGTGCACAGAAGGCCAAGCCATTGTTCCAGCTGGATGAGAAGTCCCGGACCTCCACGTCGTCGTAGCATGCCGTCTTTCGTTGACACCAGAGTAGCAATCCTTCCTTGGCAGTCATGCCCTCCTCGTTGATGTCACTAATGGTAAATCGCAGAATCAGGGTCCAGATTAAACCCAAAATGATCTTTTGATTTCCATCCACAATATCCTCGGCTCCAATATTTGTCATCTGGATTCTCCTCCCCTTGATGAAATCAAGACTTTTGTTCACATTTTCAAAGCGCTGTACGCGCAGTTTGGGTTTCGAGGCATATCGACCGAGGGACTCTCCTCCAAGGATTTCGAGGAGGTGAATAAGAATGACCTAACACGCGATCAGCAACCTTGGGACTTGAAATTAAAGAGCGGGGCAGAGGTGGGACATACGCCGTCGGAGAGGTCAGTGACCAAGTCCTCGATGGACAGGCTCCGTGCCTTCAGCTTGTCATTCAGCCTAACATTGCTGGTCAACTGGGGTTCACACGGGGATAAAATGGAGTAAGTAGTGGATGTACCATTTGGTGAAGGTCTTTTGCTGAACGTTAATCCACTGCTTCTCAACCGTCAACATCTTCGATCACGGCGGAGACATCCAGGGCCGATTGGCAATGATAGGGTCGAGAGGTGACAGCGAACAGGGTTTAGGAGTAAGAAGAAAAAGACTAGGGCAATCAGAGAGGCTTAAAGTCTTGGTTTCCGATTTGGACTGAAGATCAGACAATGGAGCACAAAGGGGGGGGGGGAATAATGTCGAGGGGTGGGGGTCTGTTTCTCCCGCAAGTCGGAGTTGGAAGATCACCCGAGCAACCGTGTCTTGCTCTTTTGAACTCGAAAGAAATGAAATAAGTATCAAACCGATCTTGGAAGAAAGAGAAAGGACAAAAAAAAAGAAACTGAATAGGAAAATTATCCAGTGACAATTTGCAGATGCATCCCTTGTGGACCCACTTCTAAGTATAGATCTCTATTGTTTACCCCCTTTGTCGTTGAGATGGGAGATTTTTATATCAGTCGATAAGGGCTACTAGATCAGTCTAGTTCTTTTCAGTCTGTGAAAATTTGAAATTGTTCTTTTTCTGTTGGACATCGCTTAGGTCGAGTTTCAAATGCCCATTCTGGCGCCGTTGGGCACCAGTACGTAGTTTATGTCGAGACTAATAACATCCCTTGCCCAAACATTCTCATTTCCTTCACAAAAACTGAAAAATTATCCGCTGAGATTGGATTCCAATATCTCAAAGGCATTCAACATATGTCCATTCCCAAGGTTTCCAACGTCTTATTAGCGAGCCCGCCAATCGAAAGCTGATAGTCATACCCGCATATTGACATAGTCTTATAATGCACATTATTGAACATTTTCAGCAAGAAAAAAGTGCAATCTTATAGACATTATTACCAGACGTTGGTTCTAGATTTTCGGTCAGAATGTCCAGGCCAGCCTAGCCCTTTGAGCCGGCATTGTTCGATAGTCAGTATAAATCACACCTCGTTCCCGTTAAGGTCACTCAATTCAGTGATAGCACCCAGAAGACAGTAATTTATACGGGGAGCAGAGGGCGAGAGGAGTGTACCTCTAGGTGAAGTCATCAATCGTTTGCCCTAGAGGGGCAGCGCGGTGATGCTTTTCTTCTGCAGCTATTTTGGATTTTAAGGTGAGCAGAATTCGAGTATATTGATCGCATCAAGGGATGACGGCGATGTAGGGTGGGCATGATTATTGACCGAGAAATGGACACGTTATTGTAGATTAATTCATAGACTTGAAGGGGAGCAGGGAATTCATGTTATTCGTGTCTTGTTCGGTCTCTTCGGCCCAGCTCAGGCCCTTGACCCGAAGAGCGGGGAGGGTATCTACGCCAGGCTCGCGGACGTTTTGGTGGCCATGTCGGGCGCTATGGAGAGCACCATGACCGCCATCTTATTCTTGTATCTACATCAGACGGATGATCAAGTTGATTCAAGATGATAGAGATTTTACAACCCAGTTTTCTTAATGTAATATAATATTGACAGTAGTAACATTACTCCGTACCTATGAATGCTTCGAATTGATGCGGATAGACTATTACATTATGTATGTATTGTATGGCTATGGAGTATCCAGAGCTATGACTTTGTCGCACCGATCGCCCACCATTCCAGGTTCCGATAGAGAAAAGGCTTGATTTTGGCAGGGCGAAACTAGGAGCCAATTTACTTTACTTCATTACGCTATGTTATAACTCATTCGAGGCGAAATATTATAGTAATTATCCTCACGTTCCTGGAATATATTCAGCTCCATTAACCATGGCAAGGTCCCCAAGCCTGCTCTTAGCTGCTCCCAGGTGGAACAGCAATGAGTAATATAGCTTCAGGGAACGAGGAGTGGGTTGACAGAAGACGCAAATATAGATCAAGATCATTGATCTCGTGCGCAATACTTTCATCATGCGCGTCAACAATAATGGCATGCAGATCATGGTGGAGATGATGGGTCCGCGAGCTTCCAGTCGGGACAGGGTTGTAAACATTTCTAAGGCACAAAGCCTCTGATGGCGCAACCGCCGGGGTTTTCGGGCTTTCCCATGAATATCCTCTAACCTATCTAAAATAGAAAGAAGAGAGCTGTATTGCTTTTATGAGGGCCATTTTTGAAGTGATACCACCCTGATATGTAATCAGCATCACAGGTATCTATATATACCTTCCTGATTTTCTGGATTCACTGGGTGCTTGAAAGAAAAGCCTTGAAAGGCTCAAAGAGTTGATCTGCTAACACTGCCCGAATACAAACAGGTGAACCTCAACGGGGGATAGAAATAGAGTTGATATTTACCAGGGTGAAAGGGGTCAATGGTCTATTTTTGTTAACTTTACTTTTTAGCCTTATCTGGTTCGCTTTTCAACTAAGTCAAGGGGAGCTGCACGATAACTATGTATGGCGTAGTACGAATTACGACGGGCGTACCAGAATATATCAGTAATCCTAACCTATCTCTGCGTGAGTAATTATGTAGATTGTACGGAGTAGATTTCTTCCTACTATTTTTCTGCTGTGGTACCTGACCTATCTAACATTGAAACAACCTAGTTCGCCCAGTGAACCAGAGGAGCAAACCCCAACATGGCATCCACCCAATACAATGAGTTATTTCAGGAGATCTATGTGAAAATCATGGAAAGGATGGAAATGGGCCATGAGGAGGCCGATTCGCCCCGGAAAACTCCATTGTACAACAAATCTAATCTTTGCCTTAACGTTTGTAGTTTTATCCGGAGCGATCAGGTCTCGCTGATTCGAGGATTGCCTTGAAATAATGCGCGACTATACCACATGGGGATGTCATCTCCACTTTGTGACATGACTATATACTTTGTATGTACCTAGGCTTACATGCATCAGCCGGGAGCATTGAAGGCAACCAAAGGAGGTGAAGTCTTCCAAGGTATGTTGTACAATATTCACAGTTTTGTTATGAGAATTAATTGCATTACGCTTAAAATGAGCCACGGCTCAATTTTACATTTTTTAATAAATGCTACCCCTTGCTTTCGAACATTGCCACTTTTGGTGATCCTGGATAAGAGACCTACACGCTTTGTTGCATCATGTCTCAGCCGGTAGAGTTCCAGCCTACAGAGCCATAGCCGATAGAGCTGTCAGAGTGGGCACAGCCCTGGCTCTCTGGTGTTTCGCTCACGCGAAGCATGGAACAAATCCCAAGTGGAAGCCCATGTCCACGATCTCAAAATTCTTTTCGTCGTCCACCGAATGACTCTCCAAACCTAATTAACTCATCCTTATGAATTTCGATAAACTCGAAAGACACTGGAATTCTCACTAAGTTTCCAGAGAAGCGGCTTGCTGTCACACTTGGCCGTGAATGGACTGTCAGTAGAGCCCTGAGAGGCATCCGTCTATTTGTATGTGAAGATCTCCGAAACTCTGAACTTAAGAGGATATTCTTGCATTATAGCCTTTAATGGGCAGCACTGACTATATATTAATTTGAAATTTGAAATGCTAACAGAAACAGATGATCGCAGTCAATGCAACTCTCGGTACAGGCCTCTACTGGCGTGGAGGTCAGATTTTTGAACTCGGTGAACCATTGGCGGTGATTATATCTTTTATGTCTATCGGAATATTGACATGGGCTGTTATGCAATGTATCACTGAAATGCTGTGCATTTGGCCTATACCTGGTGCATTATTAGTATATGTGAGCTAGTTTGTCGACGAAGAACTGGGAATTGCAGTCGGTGTTATATATTAGTAAATTGCATCCCCCCCCCCTTGAAAAACATCAAATTTCGTTGCAAGAATTAATAAAATACTGTATTAACGAGAGAAGAACCGCTGATAAGTATAAAAGGTTTGTTTATTCGATATCCTTCTCTACATTGGTGGCAACCTCCGCCGCGGAGTTCAATTTTTGGGATTACATCCACATCAGCGCAGCTATACAGGGCGTGCTTATATATCTAATCATTCCACTGGCACTCGTCTGCGTCAATTCGATAAGGATCAAAGTATGCTTTATCCATCCTTGCTGATCAATGCAAATGTTTTCGACCTCGGGGCCAAGAGGGTTAACCTTGGAGGTTAGTAAAGTGCTTAACGAAAGGCTTTGATTGGGCGTGTCTATTCTTTGGGGCAATGTTAACGATGAGTAGCTGGCCCAAACAATACTCCGGCATTGGGCATCAAGTGTAAGCAATGGCTGCCGTCTTATATATCAATTGTCATGATATACTGATACTATTAGATTGGGCTTTGCCTATCGAATTTGATACACGGGGGACCAACAACTGGGGTACTGGTTTACTGTACGTTATGGCATGCGTCTTTCTATATACTCAAATTACTAATTAACATAACAGCATGAGCATTTCGATAGCAATCTTTGCCTACACCGGAGTTGAAGTTATTGCTGCCTCTGCCCTGGAGGCAAAATGGCCACATCGCGCGGATGAAACGCCGACGTCGTCAGCCATGCTTCGACGGTCTAACGGCGCCCAAATGGGGAAATCATTCAAACTTCCGCTATATTCATTCCTTTACTTGCAATGATTGGCTATACTATCAGCGGGCTGCTTGCAATATTGGATAAAGAGCGGAACAGTTGCGCTCTTCCTAGGCTCAGTTGGCTTTCAGTGGATTCGGAGGCTGGGCGCAGAAAGCCTTCAAACTTTTCCAGTATTTCTCGACATCGCGGTTATCTCGAACGCGAAAATATCCCTCACGTCCAACGCTGGAGTGAGGAGGATCGTGATGGCTATCCGTATCGCAGCCATACACAGCCATTGACGGCCTCTCTCGCCTTGTTGGGCTGTATTTTTGTCTCGTTGGTCGCAAACGGTGCTGCATTGTGGAATAAATTCCATCTTTTACCATTCTTATCATCGTACCTAGCGGTAAGGGAAATATTGTGCATCTCGATGAGTTCAGATTACATCTATTAACTAGCATTTCCCAGGTTATTGTTTTCGTGGGCCTATGGGTATTGTTGAAGATCATGCGGGGCGCAAATTGGCCTTTGGTTGATCTCTCGCAACCTGACAAAGTCGCTAGGATATCCAGGCATCTACATGACATCCGCTTGAGTGTAAGAAAACAGTATAGTAAAGTACTTTGAATCCTTCTTGGCAATCTTCCTCGATGGCGCAATAGCATTATCAAAACCGTCGTAAGCGCAATTAAACGTATCACGCAATTTTTTTGGCGGCTAAGTGAAAAATGGGAACATATTTTACAATTGTAGGCTTTTGGCAGGCACCATAATAGAGGTTCTTGAGCAGTGTAGCCACATAAGTAGACTAAAATTCAATTGACTTAACTATTGCGCGTGGACTGTTGACTATTGGAGAAAGCGTTGCCGCACCTGGGCAGGTGGACCTCGCCGAGCGATGTCTCGGTGTTAGTCATCCGGAATGACCTCATTTTCGCAAAGCGGGGCTAGAAGATTATTCTTTTGAAAGACTTACAACTCCCAATTGACCTTTTTTCTTCTCGCAAACAATATCCCTCAATCACTTCAAGATGTCCACCTCCTTTAAGATTACCGACATGCTCCCCCTCCCGAACTCGAGTGTCCGCATTCCGCGCCTCGGCTTCGGTGTCTACCGCTCCCCCACCAAACAGTGCGTGCAGTCTTGCCTGAAGGCATTGGACGCAGGCTACCGACACATCGACACAGCGCAGTTCTATGCCAACGAGGCGGAAGTCGGTGAGGCACTTCGCACCACTAGCGTTCCCAGAGACCAGATCTTCGTCACGACGAAGATCCTCAGCCCCGCAGCCTCGGTCGAGGCTACCTACGATAAATTGCTGGCTTCCGTGCACAAGATCAGCGGCGCAGATGGATATGTCGACCTGTTCTTGATTCACTCCTCCAGCTCGGGCTCTGCTGGCCGGAAGCTCTTGTGGCAGGCGCTTGAGAAGCTGTACGCGGAGGGCAAGGCAAGGAGTATCGGTGTTAGCAACTTCGGTGTGGGGCACATTGAGGAGATGCGCTCATATGCCCAAGTGTTCCCGCCTCATGTGAATCAAATCGAGGTTGGTGCTTTTTCTTCTATTATTACTCTTCTATCTACATGGGTAGATATTTGGTGTGATTGTGATGACTGACATTATATTTTGCAGCTCCACCCGTGGTGCCAGCAGCGCGTCATTGATGAATATTGCAAGAATAACGGCATTATCGTCGAAGCATATTCACCCATCGTGCGAAACTATAAAGCCAATGACCCAGTACTAGTGGAAGTGGCAAAAAAATATGGCAAGTCGACTCAGCAGATCTTAATCCGCTATGCGCTGCAGAAGGGCTGGGTGCCTCTACCCAAAACCGACACCCCCGAGCGAATTGTGGCCAACGCGGATGTGTTCAGTTTCGATATCAGCGCGGATGATATGGCCGTGCTGGATTCCTTTGACCAGGGCAGTGCCGGCGCTATCGTGGAGGCCGTGGACAACGAATGAGCCATCTCTGGAGCACGTTCTTAATTACTCAGGCGCTTCGAAACCACTCAGGTCCGACCAAGCGATGCAATGTAATCACATTGCTCGAGGTCAATAATCCGGCGGCTGCATCAGGAAAGCATTGACAGATTGAAGCGTGGCACGAGACGGATTCACGTCATGTTTCGAAGACACGAGCCAGGCTAGACGCTGTCGAATGAACTGCTTGCTGATCGCACGCTTGCTCAGTGAGGCATCGAACCCGCCTGTGAGAAACCATTAGTTATTTATTCTTCTTCCACATAGCGTTTGAATCCATCAGCCAGATCATCTGGGACATTGCATACATACCCTCGTCGTTGAAGAAGAGACAAACGATCGCCAGAAGCGTCCCTGCCGAAAGATCCTTCCCATTCTCACAGGTGACTAGCACAGATAGCGATGGGTCTGCCTCAAGGCGGGCGCCGATAAAGTCGTGCACCTTATCCAGACATTTCCGTAGATCCCGACTTCCCAGTTTCCCAGAATCACAGCCTAAATTAAGCCGCTTCGCGTTGCCTTCCACAGCCGCAGCACTCCCATTGCAGTCGATAACAATATCATACCGATCCCCAGCATCGAAACCTGTCCCGAACCCAATGTACAAATTGCGCGTCGGGGAGATGAGCGTCGCGTCCTGAGCCACATCCAGGAGCTTATGTTCAGCCACCAGCCGGTCAATAAGTTCCGGCAATTCCTCTTCGGGTGTACTCTTTAAAACAGCCTGATTGGCCCAGAATACCGGCGGTGTCAGCCCATATGCCCACGCCTCGCTATCGTCGCCCGCGCCTTGGATGTAACCGCCCTCGGACATTTCGGCGCCATGCACGCGCCTTGAAGCAGAGCATAGTACGAGTAGATTGTACTCATCACCCGTGTGCAAATCCTCCGGGTAGAAATATGACCTGTTGGCCCAGGCGATCTGGATGGGTTTGCCGAGTTGCTGACGTAGATTGTCCATATCAAGTTTTAGGCTCTGGTGGGTATCAAGTATCAGCTACTGTATCCCGGAGCGTGTGTAGTGAACTGATTTGCGCAATTCACGTTTACCATTAATGTTACGCATGCATACCTTAAGTGAATGGACGAATCCTTCGATTCGATTCTCAATCTGTGCTTCTTCCGATGCGCCCAGGTAATTGGGTGGAAGGCGGACTGGGTGGTATGCAGTTGCGGATGGAAATAGGGCTCTGTTTAGGACAGCGCTCCAGATTGGGACGGTTTTTGCTAATGCATCTGGCATCACTAGGGACGGGTTAATAGTGGAATCGAGGCTTAATCGCAGTCATGATATGCATAGCGACTATCGGGGTAAGATAACGGGATAATTCTCTAGCTAGGGATGGTGCAGGTAGGGACAGTACGTACGTTTTCCTCGGCGAGTTGAGTCCACAATTACACATCTGCAGCATCAAAAAAAATATAGTCAGCTTTTTTGCGTTCTTTTATGGGCTTTTGCGAGGGTCATGTAATGATAGAGTTGGCCATGGTTTATACTTCGCCATTCAATGAAGCCAACCAAAGGCACTCTAACACAGATATAAATTCACAAGTAAAAGAGGACAGTGAAAAAGATGTTAGACTGACCCTCCATGATCCCTAGCCAGCGGAAGCAACTGCAAGTTCAACCTACGAAAGCTAAAATCCCACTGACCCGTGTGGCCATCGGTACTTTTGAAATAAGCACTGCCAGCTTTGACCGTAGGTGGGATATACCAGCTTCCACAGCGCTCATTAGCAACCAGCGGTAAGCCATAGTGGTCAGCGACCTCTTGGGCAAAGGTGGCATCTGTCTCAATAGACTGGAGCCGATTGGCGACGGACAGCGCCGATCGACGCAGAGAGGAAAGTGTCTGGGAGATTGACAGCTGCTCCGGGAAATGAAGGGACTCTAGGGTCGGGAAAGTATCGGAGGAACCCATGCTTCTTTTGGCTAAAGCTGTTATTGCCAAGTATATTTCAAATATTGGTATCAGGTCGTACTCCGTAGGTTGTACCAGGAACCGTTTCGGGGTTTCGGGCTGTGCTAAATGGCGGTTTAGCCCGAAATCCGTTGAATCGTGGTTAAATCAAAAGTTTTGATTTGATGAAGACGTTATGTTGGGGGTCTTTTTTGGTCGGGTCGAATGTGAAGGAAAACTGCTGTGGAATTAGGTGCGTTTGGGATTTGAGTCTAGCCAATCATGGTGATTGTATGGAGGTGGATCCAGGTTCGTGCGATGTATACGGGGTACAACAGTCGTGCTACATTGCTACATGGTTCCTGGTTGTGTAAATATTATGTCTATTAGGATGATATAATTGCTGGGTAAAATACTAGGAAGTCGACAATGCCATGTTCCGGACTATCGTGCTGCGGGAATGATAGTACTAGGTATGCTTGGGTATAACTCCCCTAGTAAGGGCTGAGATGATGATAGACTAACCTTTTGAGCATAGCCATGATAGAATGAGGTATAAAGCAGTTAAAATCGCTCATCGCTCACCGGAACTGGAATAGTCCGTACCGAGGTATAATACTATCACGTCGAATTTCTCTCTTTAGTCCAAACCCGCCAAGCATGCTTTGAACGTCCAAGTGCATTCTTGATATTGTCTGACCACACGAGTTATTTATGATGACACGGGAAAATGGACCAACGGGCGGAGGTTCGGGCCTACATGCTTGTGAATGATTCTCAATTATTCCGTGTCCCCGGCTTTCTTTGCGAATTGGGCTTTGGACTCCCCTCGGAGGACAGTGGGAAGACAGCGAGAAGGCGGAGGCATGGCCGTGCATGAGTTCGGGCCTAGCAGACTAATGTATAGTCGTATCCAGTTATGTCCAATCAAACGACCTAATTTCAGTGTAGAGTCTTGTACACTCTAGACATCAGGTGATAAATTAACTCGCATATGTATGTATATAAGTCATTTGAGCAGAGTACCCTTCAAAATACTAAAATTAGGTCACGAGATTATACCAAGACAAATTTCAAATATCCCGAATGGAATAACCCGGTGAGAAATGTGAGAAAATGCGAGAAAATGCGAGAAACTGCAAGGTGAAACTATTTTGCAGTTGCTCGGAGTAGAAAAGGAGACACTAGACTGTAAACAGACTAGTCTGCTAAAGGTCTGTGCTTTTATTGGCTGAATGTCTGGCCGTACCTCCAGGTCTAAAGTACTCGATACCTGCTTTTACACAATCAAAACATGCCAATTCCAAGTATCTAGTACATTTAACCCCACGTCAGTGACCAGCCCCTCCCGCTCTGGCCCGATTTCCCTTGGATATTATGATTGCAGCGTCATTCTTCTGGGGGCTCTTGCCTTGACTTAAATACTTCAGTCGCCATATTTCCTTGCCCATCTCAAACATTCCACTTCTCATTTTGACCTGCGTCCACTCTCCTAGATCATACTAGACCAACACTTCTCACATTGCACTTCTCGCATTCCCCCCGATCTCAATAAACAAACCCTCCGGATCTATTCTCCGTATCTTCATCATGGGCAAGGTACGAGGATCATGGCAATTTCCCATGATAAAACCACTGTTACTAACCAGGACTACAGATCACAGAAATCTTCTTCGATTGCGATAACACTCTGGTCCTCTCAGAGGAGCTAGCCTTCGAGGCTTGCGCCGACCTGGCCAATGAGATCTTGGAGGAGAACAACATCCCCGACCGTTACACTGGCGACCAGCTCATCAAAGACTTTGTCGGCCAGAACTTCCGCGGCATGATGGTCTCCCTACAGAACAAGTACAACTTCGAGATCGAGGCGGAGAAGATGGAAGGATACGTCACGAAGGAAGAGGACAAGGTCATTGCCAAGTTGGAGGCCAAGGCCAAGCCTTGTATCGGTGCGACCGAGGAGCTGGAGAAGCTTTACGCGTCGAAGAAGTACGGTCTTGCGGTCGTCTCTTCGTCCGCTTTGCGCCGGGTGCGCGCTTCCATCAAGAAGGTCGGACAAGATAAGTTCTTCGACGAGGACAAGGTCTTCAGCGCTGCCACCTCTCTGCCAAAGCCTACCTCCAAGCCCGACCCCGCTATCTACTTGTTTGCCCTCGAGGAGGTTGGCAAGACTGCTGGTGAGACTGTGGCCGTCGAGGACAGCAAGTCTGGCGCTCTTTCGGCGGTTCGTGCTGGTATCCCCGTTATCGCTTATGTTGGCAGCTATAATGGCGAAGAGACCCAGAAGGAGATGGCCAAGGCCCTGACTGACCTTGGCGCAAAGACTGTCATGTATCATTGGTCTGAATTTGAGGATCGTATGAAGGATATTGAGACTAGTCTCGCCGCCGACGCCCAGGCGAGCCTTTAAACGAACTTTCGCTGATGACGCTTGTACGCACACGATGTTATGATAGCGAGCGTATGGCCGTCAGGGAGCTTTTTTCTTCTATTTTTTTTTTGGTTTCTCTTGACACTCTGTTATCAAAAGGGGCTTTCTCTATTTCTTTGACACAAGAGTCGTTTTGCTTGGCATTGGACTGTGTCCGGTCATTGCTACTTTCTTCTTTGCCTGGTGCACTATTCTTCAATCTCTTCCGTCTTTACATAGACCGGTTTTGATGCGCAACGAGATACCATTTAGCAATGCCTTTTCCTGAGTCGACTCATATGTTTACTCGATGCTTTGTAGAATAGCATTATACTCATCTTAAAACGAATATAAATCCTTGGAATTGCCCATCGAAGACATCCATCATCACCTCATCTATGAGATAAGATAAGGGCTAACCCCGCCATTGCCCCTCCCGACCTCGGGAGGTCCCTATTTGCCCGCAAGTTGGGGCTGGTTGCCCGATCTACCAATATCAGTCTAGTACTTCTTGGGACGAATACATCGTACCTACCTTGTGGTACGCCAAACATTGAATCTCGACCATCTGTTCCCACTCTTTCAATCTCAACTGCCAATTTGTTACAATGTCAGCTCGTACGCAGGCCAAGTCGAAACTAATCTCACGGGAACCATTGGTACGTTACTCCAATCTCTCCGAGGGTCTCTTCAGCGATAAAGTCCCGAGTCTACCATGTATAAATATAGTTGAGGTCATACCAATACCGCGCCAATGCATGACTGACTCATTCTTTGTAATAGGACCCCAACGAAGCTCGCTGGGCTCGAATGGTGAAGATAACATACACTGACCCTGTGGGTGTCGAGCGAACATGGGAATCAGCTGAGCGCACGGTAAGATCTATTCCACCTTGCTATATGCTCCATGCGACCCAGTCCGCCTCGTTCTGTGATTATTCATGTTATGCGCACTGTGGGTCAACCTCCAGGGTATATATGTATCACACCCGGTGCAGGCACTTGAGTGACACGTCCCCGGGACTGGTACGAGAATCACCTACATGATAGACTCAGATTCAGCCTCACTTAAATCATGAAGAGATGGTTCGTATTGGTGGCGCTCTCTAGTCTCGGGAACCTCTGCTTCACGTGGCATAACGTTGGAAGCCCGGGTGTTGCCCGTCACCGTACCAACCAAAACCACATTACCATTGGTTGCCTTGCGTGTGTATTGGACGCACGGCTAATATCCGTTACAACCCAGTCCAAACAATCTTTCAGGCATTCTGTTATTGAAATTTATATTTCGGATTTGATACTAACAGCGATCTCCTAGACTCGTCCTGCTGGTATCGATCTCGATGGCGTTGGGATCGTCGCTATTCTGAACAAAGATACGGGCTCGGAGCTACTTTTGCAAAAGCAATATCGGCCCCCTATTGATGCAGTTGTCATTGAGGTTCCCGCGGGACTAATCGATGCGGGCGAGACGCCCGAGCAATGTGCTGTTCGGGAACTCAAGGAGGAGACCGGTTATGTTGGCGTGGCGGAGCAGACTAGTCCATTGATGTATAACGGTATGTGAACAGTGCCTATGAACTTTCTTTGCTTCTGGCAGTAATGTTTGACTTTTCGAGGAGCCGAAAGCTAACAAACATTTGTTGACTTGACCAGACCCAGGGCTTTGCAATACTAATTTGCATATGGTCCACGTTCAGGTCGACATGTCTCTTCCCGAGAACAAGAACCCAAAGCCTGAGCTTGAGGATAACGAGTTCATTGAATGCTTTACTGTTCCTTTGAGCTCGTTGTTTGACGAGATGAAGAAGCTTGAAAAAGAGGGTTATGCTATTGATGCCAGGGTTGGAACACTAGCTGAAGGAATTGAACTCGCGAAGAAATGGAAGTTGTGAGCTAGTAACTGTGTGATATCTCACTGGCTTGTAGCACAGCCATACATAGATACAAACAAATCACTATGATACCTATGTATACAAAACTACAAGCATACACTCGCTAATTCTCTTTCCCATCCCCTATACGTACGTTTAATCTCAACTCAACTCAACTCAAAGCAACCCTTCCTGCTTCAACCCCTGATACAATGCCCAAGCAGCCAAAGTCTTCCCATCCCTAAGCCCCTCCTTCCACAAATCTGCCAAAGGAACAATCTTAAGCGTAATCTTTTCCCCATGCTCCCGCAACCCAGTTAACTTACCCTGCAACTCCTCAATCTCTTTCCGAGGCATAGACTTCTGACACAAAAACAACGGAATAAACTCGTCACTTCCGCCAGGGGACGGATAAACTGCCTCCTGCAGGCGCTCACCATCACCAGGTTCCTGCGCAGCCTGCAGCGCCAGCGAGGTCATATCAATCAAATCCCCCTGCTCAACCAACAATCCCGTCTCCTCTTGGATCTCTTTCGCTGCACCGCCAGCAAAAGTCCCGCTATCATCAAGCATCCCGGCCGGAATCTCCGGGAACGCCAGCGAACCAGCCGGAATTCGGGGCTGGATAGTTAGGATAGCGCGCTTGTCATTTTCAGTTGGGGAGGGTATATCATCCGGCTGGAGAATGAGCTATTCATAGCATTAGAAAATAACAAAACATATTTTTGTTTGTATTTTTGAGTGGTGGAGCTGGGGCTGGGCGCAATGATTTTTTTGTCCCAATGTAGACACTAGATAGAGCACGAGGGGGGAAAAAACCTCCTATCGAGTAGAAATCGGGGTTTAAGGACAACTCACCAGCATTCCGACACTGCCCCCCCGCAGAAATACGCTACCAGGCAAAGTCTCGCCCTGGCCATTCGATACCTCCGCTTTTAATTTCAGGAAGCCTAGTCGACCGCCACCGAAGCGGTCGACAGATTGGATATCGATTTTGCGCAGTACGTATGGATCACTGTGGAACTCGTGCGAGGGGTGTTCTTGTCGCGCGAGGGATCGTTGAAGTGTTTTTATCCAGACTTTGAAGGCTGGGAATGAGAGTAAATCATTCTGACTTAGGTCTGGGATGCTATTCACGTTGAAGTTTGAGCCAGGTATTGTGAATGTAGACATTTTTGTGGCTTTAGCTTTGGCTTTTGTGATGATAGCCGGTCTGTGTGTGGGGATGGGCGGTGTTGGTTTCAGATGTCGTGCGGCAAGGCGGAGGGCATTCATGAATTCGGGTTGGGTATGATTTAAGCCCTCAATTGAGATGTTTTACATTGGGCAAACTTGGCTTGTTGCTTTGCGCACATCAGGCATATGTGGATATTCATTGTTTTGGTTCTATGACGTCGTTCAGTCTTTTGGCCACCACTTTTCATACCTGAGAATGTATATTTTAAGCACAATAATTAATTCTGCTTTTAAGTTGGTTTGTATGTGTTATGAATTTATTGGCCGTTCACAGTGTTGGAATTATCATTCCCGGACTTTATAACTATAACAAGTTTATGAAGACGTATAACCTGTGCGAAGCGCCCAACACATTTCTAGTGTTGGAGACACAGTAGTCATCGATACTCTTCTATCAATACCAAATTAACCAAAGTCCTTCTAGATAATATATATATATACACATAGGGCTTTCATTTCACTACCTATATAGGGGGTTGAGAAAAAGAGATGTTAGGAATTTTGAACTCTTCGTACTTTTTGTATGACGTCCCCATACCAAGGTACCTAAATTTGAAAATATATTGTCGAATGTGTCAACAACAGGGGGCAGTTATCTTAATTTCTAAATGCTAATTAGCACCGCTCTCTACACCTATATATTGTTTAAGGGTGTAATGTAAATTACCTACTATGTAATCATACATGAATCTTACTATTATGTATATAATGCATACAAACCTATGCATCACCATATTTTGGGGTGGCTTGCTAGCTCTCAAGTTCATGTATGACATAAATTTATATTCTAAAAATTTATGATGTATTGATAATTTACATTATACTCTAGGGCAGTAACTACGAAGCGGTATAACCATGTAGAGAGTAGTTCAGGCATTCAGGTATCTAGCCAAACTCACTTGAACCTGACAACACATACGCAATCTCGGCCTTTTAGCCCTATAGGAATTTTAAAAGTTATTCTTCCAATTATTTCATTGGTCTATTCAAAGGATTGGCCGCTAAAATAAAGTTTCCCAAGAGAGGATGCAGCTGCATCTCACTATCAAGCCTAACGGTCTCGGAGAGCACTTCCTACGCAACCCACAAAGACTCATTATTTCATCTCGATAGCAAATGCGGTTATCTCTACTGAGCTAGAGGCCAGCCTGGATACTATGCCAATCTTTTCGGTGAGTTTCCATGTTCTTTGACTACGCACATGTATCTTGGGTTTATATGAGGGGTGACAACATGCATGTTCCACGAGCTCCATTGGGCTCTTTCAAGAGAAACCTGCAAGTGATTGGAGAACTATTTTGGTTTAACAGAGCAGCGAATACATGTGAATAGCGGTCAGTGGTCTCTACAACCATTCCTTCAGATTCGCTACCTGGAGTGAATCTGCTAATAAGGCCATTGAAGCAACCATTTCATACATATGCTAATATGACGCTTGCCTTCCATCACTCATGTTTAAGAAAAGTAAGGCAACCACAGACGACTGGAGTTGGTATAGCGCGACCCCGGGCATAAGAGTTCCGATAAATCCTGTCGAGAGTTACGCCCCCTACACCGAAGGTCACATCCACCATTCTCAAGACAAAGCAACCTTAGCAACCTTCAGATTAACTTGAAGGCAAACTAGAACGAGGGCTGAGTTTACAACATAATCACCGGATTTGGAAACCCTGTAATCAGATACGCGCTAAAAATTCCACACACCAATCGCAACTAATTGGTAACCGAGCACACACCCCTTTTTCATGCAGTAGTGTAAGAGAGGAAGGTCTCTAGACTCTCTAGAAGTCACCTAGAACACATTTTTACCCGGGTGAAATCTCGGGTGAAATCTGCATCTTCCCCGCTCTGGTAGCGTCGGATCATGCAAGCTTATTACACCAACATGAAAATTGCCTACATATCAGGAGAAATGCATTAGCAGACTCTATACCTGCATACTCCCCGCTTAGGCAGTTTTTAAATCTGTGAACAGTCCTTTCACCCGGGTGTAGTTGCACCCAGGGGTTTGTCCTTCCCGTGTGGCTTGAATCACATCATTATTTCCCTTGCGGCTTCATTTTAAGTTAATCGGGAAGGGGGGGGGGGAACTAATGGGATTCGTATTTAACGGGCTAGATTAAGTGGCTAAGTGGAGAAGGCTGCCTTGCAAAATGAAATGCGACCCAGGTGGATAGTTAATAATTAGGTGGCACAGAGTTAGTTAGTTAGTTAGACAGGTTACTTTATGATATTGAAATGTATGTATCTTATATTAGATATTCAATCGAACCGAATCGGTTGATTTTAAATTGAAGCGCTCAAATTTCTACGGGCGCTTATACGATAGGCTCAGGCAGCCCTACCTAAAGATATCTGACAGGCAGAAAAGCGTACTAACGTCATTGGCCAAGCCACACCTAGGCACTTAATTTATGATGGATTCATAGCACGGCGTTGGAGAAGAAGGTTTTTTTTTTGTTTTGTTTTGTTTTGTTTTTGTTTTTTTACACGATGAGCTGACAATGAGCTGACTGATAGTATTGTTATATCTCGACTCCGGTTGCCTACATTCGTGTTAGTACGCAATATTAGGCTCACTACATCGTAATTGGTATACGTTGAATACAATGGATCGTGCTAAAGTTCAAGTTTCTATGTTTAGAACGATATTACTGTATTTTGACTCAGGTGAAGATCGAGATAGGGAATATTAGGTAGCAGTATACTTTGTACCCGCCACCCCCCTTCTGGCCATAGCTCCAATCCCATGCAAAGTGAAAGTCATCAGCTGAGCATTTTGACAATTCAACAAGAACATGTGGTGGTCCAACAGTCATGGATATCCCGTTGGCAGCCGTACATCGTCCCATTTGCCAGTCTGTTGCATGATTGCATGTCACCGGACGTTCAAGGAAGCCTACCCACTGGAAAATTACTACCAAGGCAGCTAGTAATGGTGTACACACGATATAGTGACTTCTTGGATTCCAACCAAACCTTGAAAGACATGTTGGATCGAAAATTACCTCATTGTGGGGTGAGCCGAAGAGAAAAAAGTGGCAATGTTCATTGTGCAGTCAATGCTCAAAGCGAAAGCGAAAGACCAGATTCATCCCAGTGCTCAGGGGGACAAGAACAACACAAAGGCTCTTTGGCTAAGAACGCCATGGTTCACTGTTAAGGCTGGGTTAAAAACAACCGGTGTGATTAAATAAATTCGGCGATAGCACTTCCCACGGAGTACCTAGGGAGGGAAAGAGCGGTGACGAGGCAAACAAAACCCTAGCCCTGCAAGGAAAAGTGTGGCCACCCCGTAGCCCAAAGGGTTTCCCTGATCATAAGATGGTGCATGTCATTGATAGTATTGGGAGACAATTGGGAGGCTGTTGGGCAATGACGAAGTAGACTTTGTACCCTACAACCGCTGGGTGAGGCTGTCAATAATTGAGGGATCGGCTGTTTCGAATAAAACCTATTTCTTTGATATATTGCAGATCCGGATAATATTCTAGCAAGACCTGCATAGAAAAAGTGAGGCGGAAGGTATATAGATATGAGGTGCTCAGGGCGGCTATTGCCAATTCCGCCTCTCTCAACAGGCGCGGTTAAGAGAAATATGACTTGGCATCAGGGGCCGAGAGGTCATGGAATCCTTCAAGATGCTCGAGGGTTCCATAGGTGTGCATGAACATCGGAGAAAAAGGGGGTTAGAAGAAGCAATAGAAGTATGTAACGAGGCAACCGCTAGTTTCGTATGGTAAAAATACGAAGTAAACAGTACAGACATACATATGTATTTATCAACCAATCCTAGGCAGAATGATGGGGTAGGATGATCGACACCCACTCAAAACCCGAGTTGCCCACGGATGCCTTTGTTTAATTTCTACCTTGTGCCAAGTTTGATATCAACATTGGAACTATTTAAAACTCTCTCTCGTCCCCTCTTCTCCATTGCCCAAAATGTGAGCTTTTGACTTTCTTAATCCCAACCAGGTATGTTGGGCACTGTGATGACTTCACTGGTCTAATTCTCCCTAGATAGCTGAAATGGACAAGCCACGCCGTAAGGAGGCAAGACAGACCCAGTGTTTTTACAGTCGGTTAGATGCCAAAACACGAATCTCTGAAGTGGTTCACAGTGACGTGTCACCAAGGCATGTTGCGAATTCTGAACTTTTGTTACGTATCTGTTTTAACTGTTCATACAGGCGATCTATGAAAAGGCTATTGTCAGAAGAAGCCATCTCTGAATCAACGGGTACCCATGGCTGCTGCTCGGCCATTTCACCAGTATCCAGTATTCGACCAAAATCCACTGGCGTCCTAGCAGATGATTACACCATGGAAACAGTAAGCAGTCATGGGGTACGAGCTCTCAGAAGTCCCGCTCGCACCAGTGTAGGCTATGTTGGCAAGTCTCGTCGCCAGAATAGCTTCCGGGTCTCCAGGGAGACTTGGCGGTTGTCGGCATCGCCTTCTCAGCAGCTAAAACCCGGCGTGCCTCAATGTGCAATCGAACACTCTGGGGTTCCAATGGTTGAGATCACCAAGACCAGGCAAGGAGAGGAATCACAGTTAGCTCAAGGCTTTGTGACACGTCCAGAATTGCCAAGACCACATTCAACACCAATTGCTGTGCACAATCAAAATCCTGGTGGAATTCAGAAGGTTTCACACAGCACGCAAGTGCAAGCGCACGCATTACGGCAAACAAGAGATGGCGAACTAGTAAACCAAAATGTGGGGATAGTGGAGGCAGAGGCAGTCTCCCAGGACACGGAGCCTCATAAAATGTTTAGGCAACTAGATACCCACACCATCACCGAGGAGCAACTGATCAATGAAGTGCGGGGAATATATACAGGACTTGTCCTAGTGGAGAAGAAGTGCATTGAAATCGACAGGCAACAAGCACAATCAAAGACCGAATTATCACAGGCTCAGTGGCAAACTCTTGTCACGCTACACCGGACACTACTTTACGAACACCATGACTTCTTTCTCGCCTCCCAACACCCGTCAGCTGGTCCTGTTCTCAAAGACCTGGCTGAGAAGTACGCAATGCCGGCCCGTATGTGGCGCTATGGAGTGCATTCATTCTTGGAGTTACTGCGTCAGAAACTCCGTGACTCGATGGAATATATGCTCGACTTCATCTATCTCTCGTACTCGATGATAACCTTGCTGTTGGAAAGCGTGCCACGTTTCAGAGAAACATGGATTGAATGCCTAGGTGACTTAGCACGGTACCGCATGGCGGTGGAAGAATTTGATAAGAAAGATCGCGAACTCTGGGCAGGGGTGTCAAGGTATTGGTATAATCAGGACGCAGACCAAAGCCCAGAAAATGGCCGGATCCAGCATCATCTTGCTGTTTTAGCTCGCCCAGACGTTCTTCAGCAGTTTTTTCACTACACAAAAGCATTGATCAGCGTGCACGCATTCCCAAATGCTCTGGATAGCATGACACAGCTAGTCACTCCGCTGATGAATATACCGGCTCCGAACCGAGGTTTGATTGAGTCTTTTGTGACCACTCACGGTGCGCTTTTTATGCAAGCTCCGGTTGAGGAGTTTGTTTCTCGGGCGAATTTGTTTCTTGCTACTCTGCGTAAGGAAATTAGCCGGGTAGGCCGGCAAGGGCAGCAGGGCGTTCAACTTGCATCCTGCAATATCGCAGCGATATTTCAATATGGGAGCAAAGATGGGGTGATAGAAAAAGATTTCACATTGAAGTTATGCAATCCTACAGCAGAAGATCGCCTAAGGGCAATGGAATGGGCGTCCAGTGCATCTAGTGCACCCACCTATGCCAAATACAGCGATGTCTCATCGCAGCTTGCATTCCGTGCAAGCTCTCTTGCGTTTCACACATTAATTGTCATGCTCGGTCAATTGGGCGATCAAAACATATATCCGAGTGTGCATATCTCTATGGCATTTGTGTGGTGTCTCACGCTTAACCCAGCAGCTATACAACGACTAGAGCCGTTGGTTCCGTGGTCGCTACTTGCAAATTATTTGAACACATTGTTCCGTCCAGACACAATCATTTCGAAGATCGAAGACGAATCATTCCCGCTTCTTGAAGACTCAACTACACGACAGCTACCGGAGGACTTTTTGATCAGAGGACAGGCATGGAGTCGGCTTTACTACCCAGAAAGATTTTTCGAAGGGGCCCCTATAGAAGACAACAGACCACAAATAGAAGAATCTTCGACAGTGATTCCTAGAAGACATCGGTGTCTTTGGCTTGGAGTGCGGATTGCAACTGTCTGTTTGCCCTTTGGTTTCTAATCGCATAAAACTGACCATATATCTCACTACTAGTACACTCGCTGGATGACCTACGACCAGACGCACCGGTTTACACCCACTCTATTAGCAGATGAGTTTGCGCCAATGGCAGAATCTCCTGCTTACCTCTATGGCAATCCTTACTCACTAGAAACTGAGACTTCATCTATCGACCAGGAGATGCAAGAAGTTTGAAAACGCAGTTGGGTGACTGCTGGCTCTATTGTGAGGATTCTGTGGTGGTATAGACTGCGTATGCCTTAACGTTGATCATTTTGGGGCCAGTAGAATCCTGGGGATTTCTTTTTGTTTTCTTGTTTGAATCAGTGCTCAAGCCATCTTGTGCGCGAATCGTTCGTTTTGGCCCTTTCCGTACACGAAGCCAGAAAGTGGATCGTTTTCTTTCGTTATTACACCAGACAGAAAATTGATGAGTCGCCCACGACTACACGACAGATATCAGATTGCCCTCTGGATCCACCTTGGAACGACTACCTCCACCTGGACCACTCTCCAAGGACTGGGCCGTTTGGGATCTCCAAGGATTATCCCATCTACTGCCATGGATCTATGGGAACATAGCCTGTCCCGGGATACTCTCGCTTTTGTCCGTCCGGTTCCATAATGACTGGAAATTTTCGCAAGCCTTTCTGATCGGCTATCAGGTACTGGGCTATACCATTCCACCGTGGTTGAATTTGGGGGAAACGGAGGCCCCTGCTTCAATCAATTGCTGGATTAGAGAATTGTGTACTGCTTCTATCCAGAAGAGGCACATCCATGGCTATTAAAAAGAAGTCATTCTTGGCTAGGTTCTCGATGAATTGTTTTGAGCTTGATATTTGGGTCGATATGAACGAAAAAGAAATATTGTGAGTAAAGTGGTAGGAAAAAGGAGAAACGAGATGATAAGAGAAGGGAAGTATTTGAATGTAAATATGGAAGCCTTTGGCGTTAGTCACTTCCTGTTTAGGAAGTCTACGCATATGGATAGTATATAGTATACCGAGTATACTCACCCTTTTTCTTCTCTAGGGCCCCCCGCCTAACTTCCAGAGCCCTGTTCTTCTTAACCCCGTATCCATTACTCACATACTTGCTGTCGCCGTGTTTCATGGATAGTAGATAGCAGAAATGGCCAGCAAAGAGTGTTCAGGCCATGCTCCTGTTCTCTCTGGATCAATTTCTTTTGCTATCCTTTGCTAGATACAGTTCCTAAGCTTTACTGGTCAGTATTGAGGAACATTCGGAGGCACATATATACCACGAAAGAGCGGCGTCGGTGGTGTTTGGTAGAGCAAGTGTCAGCTCTTGTATACGAAATGTCTATTTCAAATGGTAACTGGTCTATGCGCTGGGGTAAAAGCGTATCATGTATGGACAGGTAAATGAGCTACAATATATGCGAATTGTACAAACATATAAAGAAATACATCATTGTAATATAAATTATCTAAAATAGTAAAATAGTACTTCGTAGCTATAATATAGTGGTGTACGAACCGTGGCTCCCCGGATGTGGAGCTATTTATCGGCAATACGCAAGCCGATAAAAGGACAAGCTGGCGATTATCGACTTTCAACATTCCCCCCCTCTCTTCCAAGGTTCCGCCCTCTCTCTCTCTCTTCAAATGGCGAAGATTATTCTGCCTTACCTCTATGAATAAACAATTTCTCTCTCGGACCTAAGTGCTTGCCTCCTCCCTTCTGGCATCACTCTCGTCTTCCCGTTCCGCATCTCTTCCGTCTCCGCATCTGACGTCCAGCTCGTCTTCACAATGGTGGCAGCTTGGGGTGAGGTCTGTCGCCAATGTGTTAGTACTGTGGTGGAAACCCCGGTCCAGATCTTACTCGTTGCTGGCCTAGCCAGTTTGATTGGGCTATTTGTCCTAGTGAGTTCACGTTTCCTTCACTCCGCTTGTACTAGCCAGGTCGCAAAGTGGCATTCCAGGCACGCGCAGCCTCAATTGCAATTTACTGACCTGTCAATTCTTCTTGTTACTTTATAGTTCTCATTATTTATATTTTTCGCTGCGCCAGTCCCACGGGAACCTCTACCAGAAGAAAAGAAGTATAGAACCCTTGCCAAAGATGGATCCGTGACGGATCCGGAACCGCTACCCTGCTGGGTTGAAAGCCCGGACACCAAAATGAGCGCCCAGAGAACCACCGCAGCCCACACAATCGCACCAGCCGAGCTATTCATGTCGGTCGTAGTACCGGCCTACAACGAGGAAGACCGGTTGACCGGCATGCTGGAAGAAGCTGTCAATTACCTGGAACACATGTATGGGGATACAGCCAGTGCTATCGCCCGCGCCAGCAGCCCAGGCACAATGGAGACACGCTCAATGCGCAAACGCAATCCGAACGGGGATACCCCCAGCGATGTCGCGGGCTCAGCCTCAGACCGCGGCTGGGAAATCATCCTCGTCTCGGACGGGTCGACAGACCGCACGGAGGAGGTGGCATTCCGGTTCGCGCGCGATCACCAGCTCTCTCTGCACCCCAAGGGACACGCGGGTCCGTGGACGCCGCAGGCTGCGGAGGGCGTGCATATCCCGCCCGGCACAATCCGCGTCGTGAGCTTGACTCATAACCGCGGCAAGGGCGGCGCGGTCACGCACGGCATGCGCCATGTCCGTGGGCAGTACGTTGTCTTTGCGGATGCAGATGGAGCGAGCAAGTTCGATGATTTGGGTAAGCTTGTTGGGGCTTGTCGGGATGTGGAGGATGCGAAGGGACGGGCGGTTGCTGTTGGGTCGCGGGCGCATATGGTTGGCAGTGAGGCTGTTGTGAAGGTATGATACTTGATATTCTGGGCGATGAGATGCTTGCGAGGTCGATTACTAACTCTGCTCGATAGCGATCCAAGCTTCGAAATTTCTTGATGCACTCGTTCCATCTGATCCTGCGGCTTATGACGCCTCCTAAAACGGCCACTGTCAAGGATACGCAGTGCGGATTCAAGCTGTTCTCCCGAAGTGCGCTGCCTTATATTGTGCCGTACATGCATTCCGAGGGCTGGATCTTCGATGTTGAGATGCTCATGTTGGCTGAGTTCGCTCGGATCCCTGTGGCTGAGGTGCCAGTGGGGTGGAGGGAGGTCAAGGGGAGCAAATTGAATGTCTTGAGAGATAGTATTGGCATGGCTTGGGGTCTGGCTGTTCTACGGGCAGCTTGGTCGCTGGGTGTCTATAGACAGCGATGATCGGATGCAGAACTTGATTGTTCCTGCGATTTTCGGACAGTTATCCATAGCGCATATATTGCATCTTGAATTTTTTGGACACTTGGCCGGAATGTGATTTGATTGGCTTCCGATACACTAGTCAGCTTGGCTATTCCTCTTTTCGCCACTAGAAAATGTCTGCTGATGCTGTTATCAAATTGACCACTTGGAGTGATGTCTTTGATCCCGTTGGCAATAAACTGAGGCGGAAGCTGACGGTGCTAGTTTACTTCCAAGATACTGTTGAGTGACTGATATTCAGGAGACAGAAAATTCGCTATATATACGCGATGGCGTGTCTGTGTTGGATCAATGGTATGTAGCTCAGTTGTAGAAGGAAAATTCACTAGAATCAATACAATTTACTATATAGAATGTCAAAAGAGATGGCAAATCTGTATCAAGCCCTTCCTATACTCGACTTGATGCGTCCATACATGGTATGTGGGTCACTCCCTACCTTTGGTACATACATACATATCTGTTGTATAGGTAAAAAGTACAATCATACCATGGAGTTAACCAATAAAAACTTGTAAATCCATCACAGAAGGGTCCAGGAATTCAGGAACGGGCAATTAGAGACTAACCTTAGTGCAATTGGACATTCGCCGAACTTCGCAACATGCGGTGAAGTATATGCGGTGTGATATATATAGGCCCACGGGATGCCGATCGTCCCGATCATATGTTCTGGACTTCGTCAAGCATGGTATGATGATTGCAGGTCCATCAAGGTAAAAAGCCTCTATTCTTGTTTGGTGATTTTTTCTGACGTCTCTAACTGAAAGTTTGCCGGAAATTTTCTGACGGTGGCGACAACATCTATATGCAGCACATACACCCGAGTGGTACCACTGCCTTTTATAAACAAAATTAATAGTCGCCGAAAGAAACTCGACATTTCACCATTGCTATTCTAAGGCAGATATGAAGTCAAATATCACTCGCACATCGATATCACCATCGCGGCTGCTCCAACTCCCAGCCGAACTCCGTCTCAAGATCTATGAATATGCACTAGCTGTACCAAACGAGTACCTAGTCAGCAAACCGATGATTGTTTTAGGTGATCATGGAAACACTTTCACAGCTCGCGGTCAATACCGAGCATTATCAATGACTCCTCATTGGGTGGGCGAAGACGGCACTGCACGCAAGTTACTAGCGGTGAGCCGGCAAGTCCATGACGAAGCTGAAGACTACCTCTACTCAACGCACACTCTCTTCCTCCGCAACTCTTTCGATCTGGACCGACTAGCGGATTTCCTCAACACGCTCAGCGCAACCGCCCGCGCTCGCATCCGCAGTGTCGGCTTCGAGATCTTCTTCTTCGTGCACACGCAGACCGGCGTGCCAAAGCGCACGCTGAGACAATACGAGGCCGCAGCACGGCTTCTGGCTGAGAAGCTTCCACGCTGGGATAGTGTGCTGCTTTACCTTGATCCACGCTACTATTATCCATCGGCGAACGTGGGTGGTCGAGATCTCACGGCCCGAGGGGTCTTTGATCTCGCTACACGATTCGGCGCTTTATGCAAGGATGTGAGCTTCTATCCGCTACCGAATGGTGATCAACATCTGCTTGATGAAGCTCAGCAGTTTGTTTGGCGGATCCGTTCGCCGCTGAGACAGCCAGAAGGTCGTCGGTCTATTAAGGGGTGTTCGGCTTGGTCTTTAGATTTCAAGAAGAAATTGGTTGCGCCAAGTCGTCCGAGCTGTCTCCTGCCCGCCTCGTCTGTTTTCTGAGCCTTTCCCTTTTCTATGTTATTTTGCTTTTTTTTTTGCTTTTTTATGCATCCTTTAGCATTGCGGACCTCGGCTGATCTGGTCTGACTTCATGGTTAGGCCTGCTAATTCTGCGCCATGACGTCTGAGCGCCGATTATACTACTTGTCAACTGCATGTGCACATCTTTGGCGCAAATGGCGGAAATATGGCGTTCGGGATATTTTTTTTGACTCTCTCCGTTCTTGTTTATTCTAATCCGGCACAGGGGCGAATTCTAGATATATATTTACTGTTGTTTACTCGGGTAGGCTTCTGCCTCTTGGGTGGTTTGTTGGTTTTATATCAGCCCTGTGTGTTTCGTTCTTATAGAGCTGTATTAGATAGTATTTCCTGTACCTCCGAGGTTACATGAATGTATATAGACTTAATATAATATACAATATGCTATAATATTATCAGATCAGATTTTACATCTTAGTAATGATATTTCCTATCGGAGCTCTTTTGACGTCATAAGCTGTGGTCAAATAGGCGGACACAGAATCTCTTTTTGGACTTGGATTTCCCCTACGCCTTTCTATATGTACCTAAGTACTTTGTACTTCGTACATAATCTCCCATTTCCCCCGGAATCTGGGATATTCGTGATTTAATCTAATATTATTTGACCTTTTCTCTTCTCTCCCTTGGAACTTCGTACCTGAAAGCTACCCAAAATCTCCAAACCTGCCCAAACCATCACTCATTAATCCAACGCATAACCGAGGCTTAACCTGCGCTGCATCGGGAAGCTCGCATGAAACATTATTGAATTCCGGCATTCAACGGAGTGCCCTGAACTCATTGACCGCTTCTAGGAACTCCACTGGTCTGGAAATCCGAAGCTTTGCTGGTTGGGCACTATCGTGACTTGTCTCCACGTATGGGTATATTTACCCCATAAGGCCTAAGATATCCTTATCTCCCGATTTGCGCTCAGTATCGCGAGAAAAACAAATCTCAGACAACATGAAGTCTACCAAATTACTAGACGGCCACGGAAGTCTCTACAAAGAAGTACGCTTCTCTCCGACCGAAACGCCTATCCGTCGCACAAAATCCGTTTCAGCCACATTTCCTCCCGTCATTTCGGGCTACGGCCGAACTGCATTTAAAGACTCGGCGTTGCTGAATTCGTTCGCCATGGATACTTCATATATCGACCAATCACGAGCGCTTCTCCAGAGTCAACAGGTGAACTTCGAGACGGAGAGGAAATTGTTTGCGCAAGAGCGACGATTGTGGGAGAAAGAGCGGGCGCTGTTACGATCAAAGATTACCGAGCTGGAGCTGTTTGTGAAAAGTCAAGGGAACAAATCAAATCAATTAGGGTCAGAAGCGTCCAAACTTGTGCTGGCAGGTGGAATATCACAATATAGCGCAAATGGATTCACGGCTCAAGTGTGGGAGGGGACAAGTCCAGGCAATCGGCCTACAAGGGTGTTCTTCGATCATGAATCTCCAGATCAAAGCTATCTATCGCCGATCTCTGAAAGCGGGCTGAATCTGCCATCCCTTGATCGAGCCCTCTGCCAGTCGCAACTAGTAGATCCTTCTGGAGCGCCTGTGAGTCTGCCGGTGCCAATTGAAAAGCTTGACAGCACCCTGGATGGCATCACACTTAAGTCCACAGCGTTGCCACCTGCTGTGGTAGCTCGAGTAATCACCCCGCCCTCCCCATCGCCCTTGGTAATCTCCCCTGGAACTGCCCCTTCAACCACCGCAAGGCCTTCCATGGAACATCGAAACAGTCTCAAACTGAAGCTGTCAGAGCTCGGCCCACCCAATGAGAACTTGCTTCGCCATGCCGGTCACACCCCAATGGCGATCATCGACACTGATGATAGTCGACGGTCCACCCAGGAGGGGTCTCCCCTGGAGGTTCCCTCCCAGCTCGAGGAGGGCCCTCTTTCGCCCGTGACAACGAACGTTCACCAGCCCTCCGAAAATAAGATCTCCTATTTTCCCGATGTGCCAGACGACCCCGCTCTCAAGGGGCCCCTCGGTCTGATTAATGATGAGGAGCACGACTCCAATTTTCTGAACGAACTGGATCAAAAACTCCTTCTTCAAGCGAAGAATATACTGGGCAGCTCGGTTGAATCGGCTGATCCCAATGAGTCTGACTCCGAGTCTGAGTTCCCTAATGAGGAGGAGAAAGAACCTGAAATGAAGTTTAAGAAGTCAACGAATTTTGGCACTGCATTTGGAAGGTCCAACTTGAGTCAAGTCTAAGGAAACATATATTCCCCCTACGCTTGCATATTTGTGATATTTGTGATATATCTTACTATGTCTATAGTGGATTCCTTCCTGTTTTCTTCTCTTTTATGAAGCAGCATATGCTTTTGGTGCTGTAACCGTTTTTGTCTTCATTCTCACTTCAGGCGAAATACTTTACGAGATTACGATATATGCTGATATGTGCAATACAACCTCATTTGTTGCAACTGTTTCGGATTTCTTTCAGGGCAACCCCTGGTTCTGGTTACCTACTTCATTTGACAGGCAACAGCCCTAGCAAGTTGCATGTGGACTCACTTGTGTTTGAGTTCCTTGCGTGCGATGTATATGCAGTCAATCTCAATCCAATACCCTGATTGGTTTATTCAAAAGTCTCTCACAGAGAGTGATCTTAATGTCTCTGTGCCTTATTGGCTACTATCCCTTGCATCCATACAACCTTCCTTCCTCATTCGCACGTGTTTCCTATTCTCCAAAGCACTCCATCTGTGTCCCGTCCAGTGATAATTCCGGCAATCCTGTCCTAGCTAAGTTAGGAAAGCTCAGAGGCTCAGGCCAGGGCTCGTGCATAAGCTTTACGCTGGTTGCTCAGGGCACATCTGATCTCTCGACAGAGTTACAGCTCCTGACTATCAAACCCTGTTGCTTAGGTGCTCTGATTTTCACAGATTGCTTGGTTCCAGACTCCGTAAGACCTGATGTCTCATGATTTAGTTCCTCGGTAGCTGCCGTTGACTTTGTGCCTTGCAGATCACTGCCCTTGTGGCTTTTCTTAGATGAGAACCACTAGGGACTAGTTCGTGCCTTGCAGAAATCTCCCTATCTGGTCCTATCAGCTCCTAGGTAGAGCCCTTGGCTCTCCCCGTGGTACTCTTCAACTGTATACTTTGGGTGCCAAAAAGTACATAAGGATCATTGCTCACGCCTCTCCTATTCTATCCTTCATCCACCATCTCAGTTTCTGAACCGTCATTCGCTCTTCAATATTTTGTTCCCAACGCTCTTTCAAGCACTCTATCATCTCTAGTAATTTCGACCTTCGGATTCACCTAATCAACAACACACTCTTCCAAACCAACACCCACCCTAGTGCAACAATGGTCTCCAATACTATCAACTTCTCCGGCCTGATGTGCCTTGCTCTTGCTCTCGGCCCTACCGCTGTCCTCTCTGCTCCCCAGCTTCCCGCTCTCCCACCTCTCCCATTCCCCGAAATCATCCATCACGGCCCCGAGACCACCAGCCAGGGCCCAGGCAACAGCCAGACGTCCGCCGGCAGCGGTGTCAAAGTTGGTATTCCCGGCGGTCCTTATGTGAATGTCGGCGTCGGATTCCTTGATGCCCACCGCGGCCCATGTGGCCCTGCCTCAGGTGATGACCACAATGCAGGCGCCGGTGTGTCCGTTGGCATCCCCGGCGGCCCTAGTGTCAATCTCGGCAATGGCGAGCACCACCACCAAGACGGCCACCCTTGCCCTGAGCCTCCTGCCGTTGTGATTGTGCCCACCACCACAGTCAATCCTTCTGCCGTTGTTGCGCCCACCACCACAGTCAATCCTCCTGCCGTTGTTGTGGTCCCCACTACTACTGCCAGCCCTCCCACTGAGATCATTCCTCCTGCTACTGAGATTGTTACTCCTCCCGCTGCTGCTGTCACTCCCACCGCTGAGACTATCATCCCTCCTGCTTGGACTGCCATCTCTGCCATCTTCCCTCCCACATTTACCACTCCTATCTCCGTTCCCCTCACCACCGCCCCGGCCGCATGGGCATCCACTGGCCCTACCATCCAGTTCTCCACCCCTCTAATCCACCGCCCCGCGCCCACCGCATCGGCCTCGCCTTCCGCCGTGCCTTCTGCGCCCATTACGCCCGTTTTCAACGCAGCCTCAGCTCTAACTCCTGGATCTGTCCTCGCTGTGGCTGTTCCAATTATCTTGGCTTTCTTCAATTAAAACGCTTGCTTCAATTTCTACATTTGCTGAACACGATAAAAAATGGCGAAAACGACCCGGATAGACCATCCATCTGCCAGCGACATGGTTGGCTCATCTAATGATTGATCGGATCTGTGCATCTCTTGCTTTTCACAATTATCCTCTTCCTTGTCAACTTTTTCCTCCTACAATTTTTGCTCTCGTTGGCTGGTGTATTCACCCCCGGATTACCTGTACTTCTGTGCTCATCTGTAAGGGCTGACCTTTATTACTCACTTACTCCACTTGACTTTTGTCCAGCCACTGCTGCGGCTTTTTGTCCATCCTGTTCACTTTGGGAGTCCGCACGTGCCTTGCACTACTCAGCGTTCTTATGTTGCTTACTGTTATGTACTTGTTACTTGTGGCTTTTGATATTGGTACCCGCAGACGAATATATTATTCTTATAAAATAGAGATTCCCAACCTAGTCAATATTCGGTCAGTGAGACAGTTATATGTCTTCATCGCTCAGCGTTTGTTTGGGCTCCTAGAGAAACCTCTAATTCCTACATTTTTGGCTATCGCCTCCCTGGAAAAATAAGACCAAATTGAAAACCTGCCGAACAGGGCTTCATATCTAGTGCGATATGAGCCCCATGTGTGAAAACGATGTCAGCATATATTCCGAGTGTCAATACCCCCAAGACTGCCATTGTTTCGAATAGTGCTCGAAGCCATGTTCCCGTAGTAATTTCTGAAGTTCGCCTCTAATGCACATCCGTCGCCAAATCCGGAAAATCTAAGCCACTGCTTATTCAAAATTTCGTTCGTATCCATCCCTTGGGAAAGTATCCAGCAGCTTCCTAGTCGATGATCCCAATAGAGCCAGTTTCTGGGACGTCCTCCACAATAAGATTTCTAGGGCCGATATCGGAATGTTAGAACACACATTCAGGACAGTCCATACCGATCAATTCACATGCTTGTCGGAGATTCTTAGGATCATAGTTATGGTCAGCTTCCTACTTGATAAGGTACTGCTCAGCAATATTTTCCCCATCCATGTCTCCTAGCATATCGCCTTTCCAACACTCAAGAGTTTCGCAAACTTTTACCACAGTATGCACATAACTATGTTTCCAATTGTCATCTAGAGTATGCCAAGCTTCCGAATGGGTTTGGCCTGTTACTCTGTTGAGGAAAAGATAGGAACGATTGTTCTATTCCGCTTCGTGTAGGATATTAGGTGCCTCAAAGTTGGGTTGTTGTTTTTGGACAAATTCCAGTGTTGTACCTTTGACTCGCAATTTCACCTTGCAGAAATCATTGTCCCCCAAGGACCAGACAGCTGACGAATCGCCAGCGTCGTATACTAGCACAATCGTTGGATGGTTTGTAGGCAAGAGTACAAATTGGGGCGTTTGGCGCATTAGAGAGTGTGCAACTCAATACATCGCCCTGACCATGTTGCGATATCAGAATATCCGCTAGAACGGTGGAGAACAAAGGGACCGATGAGCCATGTAGTTTCATCAATCTGCCTTGATGGATTCCCTAACAGCGTCTTCCATTGTTTGAAGTTATGTTTGAAAGAAAATATGTATATATATAACGACTTTATCAATATATTTCCATACCTAGAGAAATAACCGTTCCAACACTCGTATCTCGTCAATCGGGGGCAAGTAGCAAGCAACTCAACTTTCAAGCAAATTCAGCGGATCCCAGGTCTTACTTCGGGGACGCTAGGTAGGGACTACGTTATGATCGTAATACGATATGTCTACTCCGGAATCTTCACAGATTGTAGTAGATTTGCCACGGGAAACTTCCCAAAGCTATCGAAGATAATACAAAGCAAAAGCAACCCAGAGGGAAAGGGAAATCATCCATGCGCCCAGAAACAGATTAACGCCAAACTCTTATCATGTTATGCATATCACATTTCGGAAATCGGGAAGGGAGCAGGTCGCGTGATGCTAGCCATTATGCTAGTCCAATTTGGTTGAATATAGCTGCCTGGGAAGTAAGGATTGGATAAGACGAGTCTGAATCCAACCCAAACAATTATACTCCCATCGTAAAGTCATGCTCAATGCCTGGCGTCACACTGGCAATGAATTTGAGGAAAACAACTAGGTATTGGTCTACCCGGATGGCGACCTGTTCTTCCTCATCGTGTTGAAGCATTTCCCACTCGTCTCCACCAGGATGTGCGTGGTTGGAGTCCCCGAGTGATAGTTTCTGTGTCTCATCCACCAAGCCCTCTAATCCGCCGCCTGCCCGAAGAACACGGTTCGCTTCCTCGCGTGACTGGGTCTGCTTAAGCTTGTCGCGGCGGAGCTTGAGTGCGGCATCGGCGCGATCCAAAAGTGTCTTCATCACAGAGGCGTGGCGGCATGGGTGGACACTGGCCATCTTGACGCTGCCATCGAACCATGGGAAGTCTTCTAGCGTCACGGTCTTGTCTTTGTAGTCGCCGACGATATCCTCCATCATCAGATATGGTGGAAGCGGTTCAGATGGCGACAAATAGCCAGATAAGTAGAGGCGGGGCGTGCGGTAGAAGTTTGAGTAGGTAATGTAAAGGGTATAAGTGCGGAGAGATCTGGAACGATAATAAGTTAGAAAAGAGGGAACCGTGACAGGAGAATGGCGCTCACTGTGTCCCTGACTGATCATCTGTCTCTCGGATGATGGCTTCCTCATCATCGTCTTCATCCTCCATGTCTGGAATATCATCATCTTCCTCCTGCTCGCCCAAATTCCCAGATTCATCTACGGTTCGCACGTCGCGAATCCTAGCTTCTTGCTTATCGCGGTCTGCCCCGGTATCACGGCCACCGCCAGTCCGCAACCACCCGTCCTCTCCATCGTGAGCTGCTGCGTCTTCGCCGCCATCACCTCCCGAGAGGAAGTCCCTCACAATCTCATCCTCGAGCCCTGCATCTCCGGCAAAGTTGTCGTTTAGTCTCCGGTGACACGGTACTCCACGAGTGACCAAGAACTGCTTGCCGTCTGGAAGGTAGGATACACGTTTTGCCGGACTTGATGCGTCGGCCCATGACCATGTGGGGAATTTGTAGACTAGATAATCTCCGGCGAGTACGAACTCCTCTGGGGTGATTTGGCCGGTGTTGCGGAAGGTGGAAGTGCGTGATACCGGGGCCAGGCGGTCCCGCCAAGTCGATAGTGTAGAGTGTAGGATATTCATTGTGCTTCACACGTGAGAGTGAAGAAAGAGATACAAAAGACGAGGCGGGAGGAGGTAAATGATAAGCGGTGGAGCACATGATCCGCCCCGCGTCCACGAGCGTCATTTTGAACTGATTTGGTTGCACGTGATGGTACCTATTTACATCACATGAAGTGAAGGTTATTTTGTTTACTTGAAATAAAAGAAAGACATATATCTTAGATATATACATATATTGTCACAACATGCTATACCTTGTATCTAGATTTATGATTGAAGAGTCTTGCCTCTTAAGCCATAGCCTTGTATTTGGATGCCTAGATGTAGGCTTGGACTCATGCAGCGCTACCTAGGGCGTGCAATATCGTCTACTTACTTCTTTCTTACTCCAAAACAATGCAAATCAAGACCCTATGAATATTTGACACCAGAGATTTGACACAGCAGAACTGTTCTAACTCAATCCTTTTAAAAGATGTATTTCTTCTTGCCAGAAGAGAGCTGTGACCTGGGCATATAAAAAAAGGTTATATCGTATGAAGGACAAGGGTATCTGCCCTAACAAAAGAAGGACAAACACCCGTGGACTATCTCCTCTGACTAATTCGTACACTGATGATAACTTGAAGACCCTAAGGAACTCTTTCTGTTGCAATGATACTGTTGACAGTGACATTGCTGCCTCGGGAAGCGATCGGCTCCCGGAGCCCTCCACCCAGGTGGGCAGGGTGAGTTAGTCACCCTGCCGCCCCAAGCGGCCCACTGAGCAACCCCCTTCTTCACGTCTTCCCTATCTACTTCTCTTGTCTATGTAACATGCATTTATTATGCTAAGCCATCGGATTGGCAAAGGTGGCTATATACTCAAGGGGTAGTGATATTCTCTGAGAGGGTGGCAACTCATTCAACGTCTAGATTCCGTTGCTCCTTAATGTCATGCCAATACCCTTTCGCGACAAAAATCAAACCCAACACAATGCCTAGCCCAGTCAACCCAATACCGAAATACCAAGCGCCACGATATCCATGCAGAATATCAGCCGGCGTCGTGCCGCCACGGTTGACATGCACGTCGATCGTGCCCGCAAATCCCAATCCAAGCGAGATACTATAGTTTACTATCGTACCAATCAAGGCCCCGCCCATACCCTGATGCTCCTTTTTAACAGCGTTCGAGAAAATAACTGTCGCTGCAGGAAATGACGTATCCATACCCCACGGGATAATCAGCATGCACACAAACAACTGGGCCCAGTATGTTTGATGTACTGGTGCCGTCGCCACCAGGATAGTCCCCACCATGAAACATGCTAGCGAGAATACCATAACCCACGCTGCGCGTACGTGATGTAGCAGGAAACCGGTAGCCAGGGATGCGAAAGCGCCCGAAATGGCCGCGGGGCAGATGTACGCAGCGGTGAGCAGCGGCGAGCCACCTCTCAGCACCTCGATGAACTGCGTCACGTAGTAGATCCAGATTCCAAAGCAGGCCCAGCCGCAGGCGACGCATGCAACCACAAAGGTGATATCACTCGTGAAGACCTCGAAAGGCACAAGTGGCATCTTAGACCAGCGAGACTCGATCAAGTAGAAGCAAACTGCGAAGATGACGCCAAGGATTAAGGTGACGTAGATATATGGTTGCTGCCAGCCGTACGCTGGGGCTTGATTCCATGCAAAATTAAATAACACTAGCGCTGCGACGCCCGTAACGGCTCCGGGGATGTCGAGCATGGTGAGCTTTTCTCCAAGGTGTTTGTTTTGGTCGGGGGAGCGGCTATGTGTTGGGATGACCAGGGCGCTGAACGCAGCCAGCAGAACCAGCGTGATAGCGTGACTCCAAAATGCCCATGGCCACCAAGCTAGCGCAAACAGGCCGGAGAAGAGTATGCCACAGACACCACCGCCTGGAGCACAGGCACCGAATAATGCGAATGCCATGTTCTTCCTCGGTCCGGCAGGATAGGAAACCCCTAAAAGCGCAAGCCCGTTGGGTATCAAGGCAGCAGGTCCCAGCCCTTGAAACACCCTGGCAAATATAAATAGGTACTCGTTACAATAGATGCTGAGGCCCGCAACCATAGTCCAGAGAGCGTACCACAGCATGCCAATTATAAACATTCTCTTGTGCCCAAAGAGATCTCCAAGCCGGCCAGCAACGAGGATAAAGGTCCCTGACGTCAAGCTATAACCAGCAATGAGCCAAGAAAGTACCCCGGGATTTGTAATACCGAAGCTGTCGCCGATCTGATGTAAGATGCCCAGTGTTTGGGTTAGGCCTATTTGCGTTGTGAATTGCGCCGTGCATATTGTTGCGATGAAGACACATTCATGGAAAAGTGACATATGATCAGCAGCGTACACAGTGGATGTAGTGTTTTTCTGCTCGTCGCTTATGGGCTTTTGGTTCTCATAATCATGCTGGGGTCCAGTCTCAGAATTGGGACGCACTTCCATATCGGATTCCACATTCATGGGGATACTGTTCATTGGGAACTAGGCCGTGAAAGTAATGGTAAGCCTACTGAGAGATTAGATGTGAATATTCCAGATTCAGAAGAAGAAGTTACCGTGGATTGATGATATATTGAAAGACCGAAGGCGATAAGAATTGTAGGAATATGGGTAGAAAAATTTGTTCAATGGCTGATTAGGCAAAAGAATGTAAGCCACCATTTGCGGAATGAGACTAGACTACTCCGTAGAACATGGATGTGTTCTTTATAGGGGGAGAAATTACCTTCAGATATATGAAAATGGGCCCTCGACTTCTTGCCCGGAGATATCAGTGGGATAAGGCCGAATGTGCCGGCGCCAACTAAAGTACGATTTTCTTTTTATCTATTCGCGCTCCGAAGACCGAGGAGATAATATCGTATAGGTGAAAATCAAGAAAAAAGAAAAGAAAAGAATGGAAAGAATGTAATGCAAGCCTGCACATGATTCACAAATTCTACACGTGCACAAAACTCTAATGATTTCTATATAGGAGCTACATATGTATGCCCAAAGAGAATCGCTGCAGTGTCGCACCAAACACAATACATACAACACCGAGAAATGCCACGACTGTGGCCACTGCCTGAAGATCAAAGGGGATGTCGTATCCCTGTTTGAGCCCGGGTTGCTGAAAGTAGCCGACGGCAAATCCACACGGCAAATCCGCACGGCCCGGGTTAAGAAAAGCTGAGACTTCTCCAGACGAAGTAGGACAACAATCCATCCCGTAGGCGACCATGACCATCGAAATAGTCATTCCCCCACCTTGGAGCATGCCGCAACCAAATAAAATTACAACCCAGTGGAGATGTCTCTGTAGGGTAATCCCCCACTAGGACAATTCCGGTGATCATCACGAAAGCCGCGAGGTAGACCACCCACAACCGGGCTTCGAGAACAAATCGTCCATGGTGTCGCTTTGTATACTGTTCCATCGTATAGTCGTTTAGAAAATGATCCATAAGCCACCCTAGAAAGACGGACACAATCAGACTGAAGTAGATGAAGCCGATTGCTCGCGCCGGTATACCATACCCACCGGACTCTTGGGGAGGTTCTAGCAACAGCGGAGCTCTGTTTGATGCCAATGCTCTATATGAAATGTAATCCGTAGTCTGCCACCACTAGGAGGATTATAGGCTGGAGAGCAACCTTGAAGGGGTTGAGGTAACAAGGAAGAACCGGGCGATAGTATTCACGGTGATGTTGTAGCTGTCACCAACCCACCACACGGGAGAGGCGAGCCATAGCGTTTGTCGCGCGTTTCGGTTGCTTTTTATCTGCGACATCCCGATTGTAGAAAGATTCATAGGCACACGGTATGACCAAAACCGTGAGACATGCCGCGAAAGCAAAGACCAACTAGAATAAAGGTCTCCGCGTGCCCAGTCCCGCCACCATGAAGCTGCCTAACATGGGCCTAGCAAAGGGGGAGACGAGGAAAATACCATACTAGAGACCGATTTTTCGAGCATCTTCATAGAAGAAGAACATGTGCTGAATGAGCTGCAGCCCAATAGACGACCCAGTACCTTGAGTGACGGCCTGCAAAGCACGCATGGCATACTAGGTAGGAAAGTTTGGCGCCAGAACACATCCTAGGGTGAAGGAAACACCCATCAATGTACTCCAGAATATAACAGGCGCACGACCCGATGAGGAGAGCAGAGGAACCTAGAGCAGCGACAAAATACCGACCATCATAACGGCGAGGTTCTTGGGCTCATTGACTACCGAGGCGGACACCTTCCGTTATTTGCTCTGCAGAATAGCGGCGGGAATCCCAATTGCCATCCCAAAATCCCTTACAAGGGAGCGAAAAGCGACGCAGAGGAGAATCGCATGCTTCTTGAAAGCGCTCCAGTTGGGCAGATCACTAGCGTCATCCTTCGGTTGGGGAATGAGGATGGTCTAATTTCCGTCAGTTACAGCCAGCGCTGCCCTTGAGAAAAGCGCAGAATATCATATATAGTCATCTGAAACAAGTTTCAATTCGGTTTTGTTGCCGGAGATGGACGTCAAACTATTCAGATCCAACCCCACGATGCCATCGTCCATAGCGTCAACCTCATGGCTGGCTGTCGAGGGATCTTTAACTACATCGTGTACAAATATAATTCGATAATTAGGGCACAGTATAAACGGGATTTCAAGGAGTTCATGCATCGAAAGTGTTCGAATCAAACTCCCTCTGCTACTTCTTCAGCGCAGTCGGACCCCGACAGCCGAACATCGTCAACAGGAACGGCTTCAATTCGGGTGCCGGGTCCCGTTCACCTTTTTCATTTCAGCGAAAGAGTACAAGTATCACGCATCTTGTTCGATCTGGCACTGATCTGCATACACACACGCAAGCAAGCAAACCAACAGACCATTCTACACCAACCATGATGTATCTCTCTCTTCTATCAACAGTCTTATCAGCTTGACGGCAGGCGGGTATCTGTCACCGGGAAGGCAGTGTTCAAAATTTGGGCTACAATGCTATATACGGGGGCCTAGTGAAAGGGACCGCAATTAGAGCATTCCTCGACACGCTGGGGGTTAATCTTAGCAGCTCCTACGACTTGCCCACCCTCGGAGGTCTCATATACCTGCAGTCGACATCCTAGGAGGGTGTTTTCAGGATCTGGTACAACGCAGAGACTGACGTCTCTAATGATGTAGTGAAAGCGGAATCGCTAGCAGCTATCAAGCGTTTAACAGGCGAGACAGCCAAATTTCTTATTTTTGGGAGTCAGACTCTATATCAGCTGTCAGTTCCTGCCAGTGCAATTGAAAATGGCTTTTAAAACAGCCTCAATGTACTTCAGGGTCACCGAAACACCTAGTACTCCGGTGCGGCATTCTTGGCCTATCACACAGCCTCATTGTGAAATTATACTGAGGTTCTATTGCCCAAGATGATTGCTGCATAATTCTGTCGTGTATAGAATGACGATAATGCTTGAGGGGTATCAGATACGATTCGAGGAGAAAGAAACACAAATTCAAAGGATATAGAGGAGCACGGAGCAATTTAGGTCTTTTGAATTGCACCGGTTCTTGCCCCCGTTACTTGAGTTTGTTGTTCAGGCTAGGCTCTATGATAGGAATTGGTCCTCACCACCTGCACATGAGTCGATAAAGGTGAAGGAACCCAAGTCAGAGAGATAGCTGAGCAGCAGGTCGCAGACTTGCACGGCTGGTGATTCTTCGTTTCCAGGGCCCTTGGTCTTCCACGTCTGAATGAAAGCCATATGCGAGTATTCGCGCAGCCATTCTGGACACCATGGCTGATCGCCATACTCTAGCAGGTGGAACAGAGAGGTAATGATCATGTTGGGTGAAAATAATCCCACAAAGTAGAGATAGCCAGCTTGTCTGTTTTTTTCCCTGCTTTGTTAATGTAGGGGAGTCTCCCAAATAAGATGTACGAACGGATCTAGGCTTCATCACCTAGTTCGGTCCTCGGGATCCGAGCATTCAACGGCCTTCAATCCCAGGATCCTGTATACTTCCGAAATTGGTTAAGCCTCAGGGACAATCGCGAGCCGGAATTAAGCTTGTCTTAAGTCCTATGGCCGTTGGGTTTATCGGGTTCGTTTACTACTTAAATATTGTACTGCCAGTCAACCTATTGCGAGTTTTCGAAGAACCAAAAACTCCTCAATCTACTCAAAAAGCACACCGTAAGTATGCGAGTCCTTCTTACCGGCGGCACAGGTAAGACCTCAGTCCGCCTAGCCCGCTTCCTTCAAAATGAAAACATTACATTTTTGCTGGCCTCTCGTCGCGGTCCCTCCGCTGCCCCCTCCGGTATGCCTGCTGTCAAATTTGACTGGCTGGACAAGTCCACCTGGAAGGAACCCTTCCAATACCGCTTCGCAGAGGGCGGGTCTATCTCGGCTATCTATCTCATGGAACCACTGGTCGCCGAGCCCTGGAAGCCAATGAACGAGTTTATCGACTATGCCCGTAAGGAATATGGGGTGGGAAGGTTTGTGCTAGTGGCAGGCAGCTCCGCTGAGCCGTCGCGGCCGGGTATGGGGATGGTATGGCAGCATTTCCTAGAAACGGGAGTCGATTACTGTGTGCTTCGACCTAGTTGGTTTATGGGTATGTATACCTGAGCGAAAAATCTATAGTGGGACCTCCAGACTATTGAGCGACACTTTTGTACTATCATATACCGCCTTAAATGTAGGGGTATAAAATTCCGCCTAATACTTTGGAGGTCCCAGTACACCCAGAAGCCATTTTGTACGCTTGCTAATCATTGAATCACTTCACCCTATAGAGAACCTCTCCGACGAGGCTCCTAGCACTCTCATCCGGGATCAGGACAAGATCTATACAGCATGCGGCGAAGGGAAAATTCCCTTTGTGAGTGCTATTGATATTGCTGCAGTCGCATTTCGGGCTATCACAGATCCCCAATCGCACAATTGCGACCACCGTGTGTTAGGGCCAGAGTTGTTGACCTACGATGAGGTGGCCGAGAAACTTTCCGCCGCGCTGGATCGTCCTATTGAGCACATTAAGTTGTCTGGGGACCAGCGGTACGAAGGGTTGGTCAGCGTTGGGGTCTCTGAATACTATGCTCGCTTCCTGACGAACTTGGAAACCGCTGCATCCACGGGATTCGAAACTCGTATGAACGCTACTGTGGAGAAGGTGACGGGCCGGGCCCCTAGGACACTGGATCTTTTTGCGCACGATAACAGAGGGGCGTGGGAGCGACTGGGTGAGTGAGGGTTATAGCAAATCTCCAATTTTCCAATTTTACTTGCAGTACTATACCTAAGTCAAAACTTGAAGACTTGAATTCTCAATGCCTAAACTGTTTATTGTTCCATTCTGTGTACTTTAAACTTTATGTTCTGATTCTCAACTCTGCACCTAGTTCTTACAACTTAATGTAGTTCAGTGTGTACATCTATGGATAATTTCAATGTTTGCATAAACTATGGAGTATCTTATATAAAAGTATGTGACCCTCTCGGGAGTATGTGGAAAACTCATTTCCTGGGGAAATGCGGATCACTCGCACATAAATTACCATAATTTCAATTAAATCACGTGGTACTCTAATCCATTAGTATGGCCATTTTATATGGTAAAAAATACATATGTATATATCATTCCAGTCATATTATTCACTGTTCAAATCTACAAAAGCGGGATTTGATCTCGGGTTGTCCAGGTAGGGTACTCCGTAGTTAAAATGGACCCTATAGATATCCATGTACGGAGTACGGGGTACAAAGTAACGTATTAAAACATAGTAAATGCGATATTTTACAACTATATATCTCAACAACCACGTTGTTATTTGATTTCATTATCATTCGATAGCTATTGATAAGACTTTTGAGCAATATATATCAATTTTAAGAAAATCTAAAACACTCCTGTGGCCCTGGGCACAGTTGGCGGCTCGCTTGGCGCAGTGTGATGTTACCATCTTTGCGCATAAACCCTTCAGCTTATTCCCATCTTAGAACGCATTGACTCTTCAATTATGAAGAACTTTTACGGTAAATTTAGATAAATCTATATAGCTGTAATTGGAAAGTCTTACAAGTGATTGCATTTTTCCTTTTTCCCCATTGATAAACCTTGTATGCTCCAATTTTATATTTCTCGGAGTATCCCATCAGATAATTACAATTACTTTGTTAATGAAAATCAAGACATAAAGCAAGTTTTCTTCTTTTTCTCGAGTTTGTACTTTGTAAGCATACATATCCATATATGTGTACAACCCAATACCTCTCAAATTTTACCTAGCTGTCTTGTCAGTTGAATTTCGGAATAGCACTCGTACATCTACTTTGGTTGTTACGGCCATCAGAGAAGATATGGTATGCATGGAACATATAGATTCAGCTCGTCAGGCCGCGGGATTCCATGATGATTGCCAAAAGCTGTGGAAACAGCTAATCTTCTGGCCGCATGGCCGGCCACATCCGCAGAGACGAGGTCGTTTAGTGTTGGGTATCGTTGGCATTCCTTCCGGGAGCAGAGCAGAATCTCACAAGCCTTCTGGCTGTTAGATCTTCCGTGAATATGCAGCATTGCTGCCACCCCGTAGTAGATAATTGAGTAGATAGCTTGTTAGCTTCTACCAAAATATCCTTCCCAGTAGACCTTCGATCTTGGAATTTGATATTCTCGGCGAAAATCAAAGCACATTCATTCACCCTCCTCCATCATTTGCCGTCGCTCAATTTCGGCATCCACTTCATCCACTACCATTGGAATAGCTTTGTTCTTCCAACGACTGACCTCTGCCCGCATAAAGCCCTCTGTACTCTTCATGCCTACGACCAAAAAGCCCAGCTCTTCACGATCAACATCAAAGACTTCCCACCACTCACCATCCACAAGCTTGACCTCCTCCTCACGTGAAGCGAGATAGATAGCAGCCACAGCTAGAGCATTTGGTTGGTGGGTGACATAAAGAAGTTGGGGTGAGAGTAGCGCCGCATTGAGGTGTTGGATGACCCGTTGAGCCACAGCAGGCTTTGCTACACCCAAAGTTTGAAGATATGTCAAAGCGATGGTGTGTGGTAGAGCGACATGTGTATCAAAGCCGAGAGTACGGAGGATAATCGTTTCGGTGCGGAGGAGGACTAGCCGAGCGGACTGGTAGCCTCCCTCGGACAGGATATAGCTTTCGGGGGAAGGAGGGGTTTCAGGAGCCCCGCTCTGCTTCACAAACCACAAGGGTGATGCATTCTGCGACAGGAGGAGTGTGTAGACGTTGAGGACGGAGCGTGGAGAGGTTGGTTGGAAGGAAAGCTTAGCCGTCAGGTACAAGGCTGCAGCGGATACATCCTGCTCAGATTAGTGGATTAGATAAAAAAAAGGTCGAGGGTGCCTAAAGCTGGTCTTACCTTAGCCGAGTAGATTCGCAAGCTGCCTCCTTCAGCGCCAAGCCAAAAACGCGTGAAGATCACGACCGCCTGGGCGATGATATCTTGCGACAAGTGTAGGAGAACGCCGGCGGCTTGAGTGAGCTGGGCACCGGCGCAACGAATGGAGGTTTCGAGATCAGATGGAACATTGTCGATCGAGGATGAAGAGTTTGACAGTTGGTCAGGCGTTGCCAGGGCATTGGATAGATGCTTCAGACCGCTGTGAGCCATGATGAGATTTTGCAGAAACGTGCAATGACGCAGATCGTCGTGCAGCTGAAACCATGCACAGCGGGAGCGGGAAGACGAAATTAGATGATGACGATATCAAACTCGAAACAAGTCTAGTGGGAGGCAATACTAATTGCTATAATTAATCAGATTGGAAAGGAAGACGTGGTGGATCATTGGAGGTGGAGAGAGCTCTAGGCCAGCCACCGCTATTTATTTCCCCAGCCTCTTGTTTTCCTGTCGCCAATGCTTTCTTGGGATTTTGGTTTCAAATTCTAAAAAGAGTTACAACTCAACACCGTGAAACATCGAAAACACATTCAAACTACCTAGTAGTATACACTCTTTTTGTTTTATCTTGAACATATCACAGGGGTCTATTTCATCCTCGATCAGCCTTCATACCTCCCCCTACTGCATATCCCCCCAAAGTTGCACACCAACGCCACATTGGGCCCAAATTGACGTGGCATTTTCATCCTGTCTGCTTCTTTTGTCAATATACCCTCTCAGAACATGTCTCCCAATATATCTCACGCACCTGTCACCCTACATTCCGATGGGACGCCGCCTCGCGAGACCGTTGCCTTGACGCCCCCAAGATCGGCGGTCCATTTAACCTCGCGGAATCACTTTAACAATCCGCCTTCACATCGTCGGGCAAACACCGAATATATTGCACGGCCACCACTCTTTGAGGAGGGCACCAGCCACACAATATCAGGCCCGAAGAGTACCCCTTGGACGGAAACATTCCCGAAGAAGAAGTTCGAAGCAAGAGCCAGGGTCTTGTCTGATTGGTTTCAGGGGAAATCAGATCCAGTCGAGTTGGGACTGAAAATGGGCACCAACAGTGTTTCAGCTGTGACCGGATTGGATTCCCGTCCATCTCCCCCATCCACGTCACATATGAGGCAGAACTCGACTCCTACAAATCGGTTTTCATTCTTCGGTCTGCGCCGACAACCAAGCAGACCCAACTTCCCGGAACCAGCAGATGATGAGTTCTTGAACCTGGACATCAGTGCCGCTCTCTCACTACCTGAATTGGATGATACCGACGATGAGGCACTAGATGCCCTACGAGATCACGCCGACAAAGTGTTACGACGCATGCAGGAGGCCTATAAGCAGCGTACCTTCGCCATGCACCAGGCACTGGTGGATAAGAATGAAAAGCAGGAGGAGCTCGAAGAGACTCGTGCTAGAGTCGATCATCTCAAGATGCAACTAGACGGCGTGGCCGCCAAGGTGCTTGATCAAGAGAAAGCCATGCAGGCCATGGCCGAGGAATTGGAGCAAGAGAGACAAATGCGGAAGGCTGAAGAATCCCACAGTCGCAGTTGTGGAATCCGTACTGTACATCAAGATGACGACGTGCCTTCTATGGCACTCCAAACTCCTCGGCGTGGAGGCAAGCGTGCTAGTCACAGCACCTTCACCAGCGACTCGGGCTTTGAGTCCGGTGACGAGAGTGTTGCCGATAGCATCTTCTCCCAGCGTGAGGGTCTCGAGTCTCCCACCTCCACGCTGACAGCACCATCTCCCAACATGTCGCAGATCGCTCTGTCTACGCCGACGGGCCCGATGCCAACACCTACAATCCAGAAGAACCTGGTCGCGGTCACGAGTGCACCACCACCTCCACGCTCATCGGCATACGATCGAGTGTTGAAGGGTCTTGCTTCAACGCGTTTAGGTAGCTCTTTCACTGGTGGTAACAATACGTCTAATTGCAACAACTGCTATGGAGTGCCCGCCTCCGAGGCATGGAGTGTCATGGGTATTCTGCAAGATGAGAACCGGGGTCTGAAGACACGACTGGGAGAGCTCGAGGTAATCATTGATGATTGCCTGGGTCTCGTTGAAGTTTGAACTAGATTTTCTTTTGACAATACTACGATACTCTTTATAGAATGCTGGTATATATTTACAGGACCAAGACGGTTCAAATATTTATTCACATGAACCCCGTATGTTGTAAAAACCCCAGCTACACGGGGTACCGATCGCGTTATTAGTACCGTGGCCTCTGGAATGTGGGGATAGCTTGGAGCCCTGTTTTTGGGGTTGCTCAACACATCGGAATTGAAAGACTAGCTGGGGTAAAAAAAGCTCCGGGGAATTGAATCGGAACTCATATTAGTGCAAATATCTTCAAATACCCTGATCTTTTTTTTGGTTGAGTCACCAAGTTGGTTGTTGCGGCGAAGACCAAGTGGCCTTAATTAGCGCGGAAGCGAAAAGTGGCCAACGAACTTCTGTCTTCTTCTTCCCTCCTCCTCCCCCATCTTTTCGACAACCTCACCTTTTCTCCTTTTGTTTTATTTTTTTCTTAATATTCCACTTTCCTTTCGCTGGTTTTCGACTCCAGCTTTCTTTACTTCTTTAACGGATTGGGAGGAAGATAGCCACCATGAGCGGCCGTGAGTCCCCCGAACCCTCGTCTCACATGTCGCGACAATCCGTCTCGAATCGCCCTCAATTGAGCGTCAAATACTGATGGAGGAATATAGTACGCTTCCTTGACTTGATCAAGCCCTTCACGCCCCTCCTCCCGGAGGTGGCAGCTCCTGAGACTAAGGTCCCCTTCAACCAGAAGTTGATGTGGACTGGTGTATGTCGCCCTAAATCTACTCTCTCCGCGCGAAGTCAGCTTGAATCCTAATGGAATTTCGTTGCAGTTAACTTTGATGATCTTCTTGGTCATGAGTCAGATGCCTCTTTACGGCATTGTCTCCTCCGACACCTCTGACCCCCTGTACTGGCTCCGTATGATGCTGGCCAGTAACCGTGGTACTCTGATGGAGCTGGGTATCACCCCTATTATTTCCTCCGGCATGGTCTTCCAGGTATGCGATTCCAGGACACTCTATTTTCAGTATTCATGGCAATTGTACTGACCCATATCGTTCTCCAGCTCCTTGCCGGTACCCACCTCATTGATGTCAACCTCGACTTGAAGACCGACCGCGAGCTCTACCAGACTGCGCAGAAGCTCTTCGCTATCATTCTCTCCTTCGGCCAGGCCTGTGTTTACGTCCTGACTGGTCTCTACGGCCAGCCCAGCGACCTCGGTGCTGGTATCTGTGTTCTCCTGATTGTCCAACTGGTTGTAGCTGGTCTTGTTGTTATTTTACTCGACGAGCTTCTCCAGAAGGGCTACGGACTGGGCAGCGGCATCTCCCTGTTCATTGCCACCAACATTTGCGAGTCCATTGTCTGGAAGGCCTTCTCCCCCACGACTATCAACACCGGCCGTGGCCCCGAGTTTGAGGGCGCTATTATCGCTCTGTTCCACCTGCTCCTGACCTGGCCCGATAAGCAGCGCGCCCTGTACGAGGCGTTCTACCGCCAGAACCTGCCCAACGTCATGAACCTCTTGGCTACTCTTCTTGTCTTTGCCGCTGTTATCTACCTGCAGGGCTTCCGTGTTGAGATCCCCGTCAAGTCTTCCCGCCAGCGTGGCATGCGCGGCTCGTACCCCGTCCGCCTCTTCTACACCTCCAACATGCCCATCATGCTCCAGTCCGCTCTGTGCTCCAACATCTTCCTTATCAGTCAGATGCTGTACTCTCGCTTCTCCGAGAACATCCTGGTCCAGCTTCTCGGAGTTTGGGAGCCCCGTGAGGGATCTGCTCAGCTTTACGCCGCCTCGGGTATTGCTTACTACATGTCACCTCCTCTCAACTTCAAGGAGGCTCTTCTCGACCCCATCCACACTGCTGTCTACATCACCTTCATGCTTGTTGCATGCGCCCTCTTCTCCAAGACTTGGATTGAGGTTTCCGGCTCCGCTCCCCGTGACGTTGCCAAGCAGCTCAAGGACCAGGGTCTCGTCATGTCTGGTCACCGTGAGCAGAGCATGTACAAGGAGCTGAAGCGCGTTATCCCTACTGCCGCTGCTTTCGGTGGTGCTTGCATTGGTGCTCTATCCGTCGCCTCCGACCTTATGGGTGCCCTCGGCAGCGGTACTGGCATTCTTCTTGCCGTCACGTAAGTGGTTCCATTTATTTATCAATTGCATTCATCCCAGCTAACAGCTCAATATAGCATCATCTACGGTTACTTTGAAATTGCTGCCCGTGAGGGTGACATTGGCGCTGGCCTCAAGGGCCTCGTCCCTGGCAGCTAAACAAGACTGCCCTATTTTCACGAGCAGCATGACATAGGATCACATCAGTCCTTTGCAATCTCTCTGTTTACTTTTCTGTCTTTTTCTACTGTTCGCTCTTCGTTATACTTTTTTGGTGAATAGATCAGCGCCGTCTGTTTGGCTGAATTAGAATCATAACGCTTGATATTCAGTCGTGCAGGTTGATCAACCTGTCGATGAACATCCGAGGCGTCCTCTCCGGAAGTCTCTGCACGTCGACACAAAAGTGTCAATGTCAACATCCTATGTCGCCAATGTGTAAAGGCATATGGGTCTAATATCACTCTATAGACGGTGTCCAGCGATGAAGAGTGCCCTGTCTAGGGTCTTGTAACCATATGTGTCTAGAAAAACCAAAATCTTATATTCAATTTTCCATGATCCTGAACTCGTTCACATTAATACTTGATCCAACTACACTTCCTTGTACTCTCAGCATCCTCGCACTCAACTCCCTTAACACCGAAATAACTTTCTTGATTCATCAACTTCCACTGTCGCTAAGAACATATATTTTTTAAGTCCGGTAATCACCGTTGATAGTCACATACTCGTGACTGAAATCACAGAACCAATAAACAGCATCTTCACCACCACATCCAGCAGCTCCCTGTTCACCGCCACCAAGATCAACCTCGATCTCAAGATCCTCATTCTGCAAAATCTCACTGGCTCGGTTCTCGTCAACAGCCTCAGGCTCTCCATTGACCAACAGCTTCAGGACATCACTTCCATCAACAGGACGGAAGCTAACAGAGGTCCGCTCAGGAACAACAGTTCCGTCAGCAACACCCTGCGAATAACCCACCGCACAAAGGATCCGGCCCCAGTTGGCATCCTTACCATAAAGAGCAGTCTTAACCAGCGGTGAGCGCGCAATAGTCGAAGCAATCTGTCGCCCAGACTCATAATCTGGCGAGTTACGCACGCGCACAGTAACAAACTTAGTAGCGCCCTCACCGTCCCGCACCACCAGCTGCGATAGCTCCTGTGCGAAATCGGTCACAACGCCCTGCAGCGCGGTGTAGTCTGCGCTGGCAGACGCGGCCGGCGCGCGCACAGTCTCGCCGCCTGCAGCACCGTTCGCCAGCACTGCGATCGTGTCGTTCGTGCTCGTGTCGCCGTCAATGGAGATCGAGTTGAAGGATCGCGACACGGCGTGTTTCAGGATCGACTGCAGCGCTGCGGGCTCGACGGCGGCATCGGTGCAGAGTACACCTAGCAGTGTCGCCATGTTCGGGTGGATCATGCCTGCGCCTTTGGTCATGCCTGCGAGGCGGTAGGTGCGGTCTGGCGAGGAGGGGAGGGTGAAGGTGCGCGAGAGGAGCTTGGGGAAGGTGTCTGTTGTGCAGATTGCGCGAGCTGTGGTAAGCCAGGCTTCATGTGTGGAGGCTAGGGTTGAGTGCGCTGTTGGGATCTGGTCGAGGATCTTAGAGATCGGGAGGCTGGCAAATTGGTTGTCTGGTTAGTTATGGGAATTCCCTGGGGTGGATTATGCAACTGAGGTGGGATTTACCGTTGTCCGATGACACCAGTGCTCATCACTAGCGAGCTGTCGTTCTCGACACCGCTGCACTCATCTACTTTTCTTCCCATCTGCACGGCGTCCTCCAGGCCGCCCTTACCGGTGACGGCATTGGCGCAGCCTGAGTTTATTACGACAGCGCGGATGCCATTGCCTTTACGGCTTTGCAGGGTTTTCCTGCTCACTTGAACTGGCGCAGCCTGGAACTTGTTGGTTGTGAACACTGCCGCGGCTGAGCATGGGGTATCGGAGGCGATCAGTGCCAGATCTGGGAAGCGCGTGTTGGAGGCCTTGACACCCACATGGGTGCTAGATACCCGGAAGCCCTGGGGATAGGTGCCGGTTGTGGGGATATAGCGCTGTTTGGAGGCTGGAATGGCCATATCCAGCGGTGCGGAGTAGCATCGGACTTGGCCCTTGAGCATGCGGGCGAGGGAGGTGGCCATAGTGACGGATTGAGTAGTTGGAACCATGAGTTCTGTCTATAGCAGTTGCTAGATTTGCTATACACCGGCTCTTTATGAGGGGTGGTGTTCTCGTGAGTCAAACCTCGTGAGTCAAGGGGAAAAAAGTAGCCGGTCTCGGGAGCTCCCCACTCGGCAACTACCTGCGCGGTATGAGCCCACTGCAATTAACGTATGGGAGACAATTGATGTACAGAAGAATTCGATGGTTTGGTTTCTACTTAGGTATTTATTGAGTAGTTACTACATCGGAAATTAGAATTTAGTCTGTTCAGTGAATTTTCTCACATGACTTGCGCGACTTTTTTGGTCCAGCCCTCTGGGATAAAAATCAAGTAGGACTTTTGTCCACGTGTACAAATCAGTACAAATTAGAAAGGAGGGGACAAAATGAGGTAAAACCTCGCCAATTGTTTTTAATTGAAGACAGTGTAGTCGATAATCGCTGGTATACCTGGAAACGCGGAGTCGGAGAAACCTATCCGACTCCAATTTAATTCCTTCAACCTTGGAAGCACCTCCAGATCCAATTAAGTCCTTAATACTTACATTCCAGTGTTAGACCTGCAGCTCCCTACAATTACGAGATCTCAAATTTACCAACCTTGGAAGCCCCTTGCGTCGCGACCCTGTGCACATTCTCCGGATCTGATGGTACTGTTACTTCCTTTACCCTTCGCGTCTATGTGACTGTAATCTGACTAGACACGTCATGAAGCGTAAGCTCTCAGATGCCGGCGATCAGCCGCCTGTTTCGACCCCAAAGAGAAGACGAACAGCCCTAGAACAATCCAATAGCGCCCTGAACGGCCACGCGCCCAGCGGCGATGCCTCCTACGAGCTTCCCCCATCAGCACGAGGCCAATCAACACCCAAAAAGGCCAACGGTGTCTCCGCTACGCCATTACAACAGTCTGGGCTGAAAACACCTACCCACAAATCTAAGGCCCGTGGCTTGTTCGCTACACCTACAAAGCCTAAGTCTGCAATCGCAGCGACCCCGTCTCGAGTTAAGAACGCAGATCGATCTGCGCGGAAGAAGAGCGCACGAGTGCTGTTCGAGCAAGACGAAGATGCATCTTGGGATGGATCGGAACGACTAGCAGAAGAAATCTTAAATGGAGATGAGCCAGACACGGAGAAAGCGGGTCAGGATCTAGCGGAGAGCATAGAACCTGAAGGCGCAGAAGAGGCTCCGGAAAAGGGAGTGAAACAACCAAAGCGCCGTGCAGGGCGACCGAAAGGTGCGAGAAATAAGCGCTCCCCGACACCGGAAGGCGAGCTTCCTGCACACGAGCGATACTTTTTCCAGAACCGCGCCGGTCCTGTCAAGACATCAAATGCCACTCTCAACAAAGTACCGCTTTTAACACATGAGGAATATTTTGAGAAACTTGGTCAATATGATGATCCTTGCAAGGAAGAAAAGGAATATCTCCAGTCCTTGCACCACCGATCTTTCCCGCAGTGGGCATTCGAATTCAATGAAGGTTTCAACATCTGCCTATTTGGCTACGGCTCCAAGCGCAAGCTGATGGATCAATTCGCGGAGTGGATCTACAACTACCACTTATCCGCCACTACGACTCCAACTATTGTAATGGTCAATGGTTACACACCAGGCATCTCCATCAGATCAATCTTCGCCACGATCGTCACGGCCGTAATGGGTGATGATGCACCATCCAAGCTTGGCGCACAGCCAACCGAGGTCCTCGAGCTACTACAATCTGCACTCAAGTCGCATGAAGAGCCCGTCACCGTTTTGATCAACTCTATTGATGCCCCGCCTCTCCGCCGCGCAGCCAACCAAGCGCTCCTTGCTCGTCTGGCTGCAACACCGCTCATACGCCTCCTAGTCACAGCCGATACCCCCAACTTCCCGGTCATGTGGGATATCAGTCTGCGTGATCAACTGAATCTCGTCTTCCACGACTGTACAACCTTCCTGCCATTCTCGGCGGAGGTCGACGTCGTCGAGGAGGTCAACGCTCTCCTCGGACGCAAGGGCCGCCGCGTCGGCGGGAAAGATGGCGTGGGCTTTGTGCTCAAGAGTCTTCCCGAAAATGCACGCAACCTGTACCGTCTCCTACTAACAGAACTGATCACTCTACTGGACGACGGTCACCAGTCAGATGATGAAAGCGCAGAGACCGCTGGCAAGGCTGGCGATGAAACTGGTATTGAGTTCCGTCTCCTTTATCAGAAAGCAACAGAAGAGTTTGTAGCTTCTTCAGAGATGATGTTCCGTACCCTGCTGAAGGAGTTCCACGACCACCAGATGATCACTTCGCGCATGGATGCAAGCGGTATGGAGATTCTAGGTGTGCCACTGTCCCGCGATGAAATGGAGGGCGTGCTGGAGGATCTGGTGTTGGGGTAGCGTAGATTTCCCCTTATATTTGGTGTGAAATAGATCAAGACTTATGATACCCCTGTACGAATGAACTTTTTACCAATTCTAATCGGGGCGTCCAACAGCCCTTGTCAATTGGCGAAGTCCAACTTGACGTTGCTTGAGTGTATTTACAAGTAGCGTTATATTTCCGTCTTAACCGAATAGATAAAACCTAGAAATTCGCAAACGCCGCCATCGCCATCATAGCGCCGAAACTCATCTTGAACGGCCGTTTTTCCCTCATCGCGCGACGCAAGTCAACACGCTTAACATATTTTTGAATTCGATTGATCGGAAGAACATTGTACCCTTTAGACGCAGCGTACTATGATCGAGAAGAAGCATCAGCATACCGTTAACAAGCATAACCGCAGCCTATAACCTCGGACAGCAAAACAAGGCCAATGGAAAGCCCAAGTTCCTGGAAAAAGCTCATACATACCTCAATAAGGACAACCGCCATACCCAAAATAACAACCAAAGCCTTCGAAAATGCCCTCAATCCAACACCAGCAACAAGGCCCAATACACTCCCCAAACTAACCTGGCGCATCGTCTCCGCGTCCAACAGCCCAGTCTGCCCGCTGCGCTGCTTCTGGCCCACAGATTCGGCGGAGTTTACAGCCCACCCTGAATCTTTGTTGAAGACAGATTGCTGAGGCACGGCGTACTCGCATTTCATTGGGACGGCGCGGAAGGGTGACAAGGGGTGCATAGTTGCAGCAGAGAGACCGATGCCAACCCCTAGACCCAGCCGAAGGAGAGTGGCAGGTTGGTGAGTGAATAGTTTGAATGACATCGTGTCTGTGCTGATTGTCCCTCTTGCAATTGAGGGAGTTTGAGAGTCAGATTTGGTGTGGTTTGGGATTGGAGATGATATCCCTTGGCCGATAAGGATAGCCGGTGACGTCATATATGAGCTCATCCATGGATGGATCCTGAAGGATTGAGGCTCTTTTTTGACGTTTAAAGGTTGTTTTTCTTATTGTATAGCCTACATTTCACTCACTGGATTGATTATTAGATTATGCTATGTGTATTATGATTATTGGGAGATGTATAGGCATTTAGGGATGCATATGAATACTAGATCAAATACAGCAATGTACATATAGAGTACATATGAATTCTCGACCGTACGTCCACAGATGTACGATGTACTGAAAAATCTATATGCAGGTGCAGACGTGGGTTTATATACTTACATATGTAGCCCCATCGGTGATACCCAGTTATGCTTAAAACAACTCTCCTGCCTGAATAGGATAAAGTCTAATGTCAGTGATGAGTCAGTCCAAAATCGGAAAGGGCCCCCTACCTGGGTGGGCATCAATATACATAACTGCATCTAACTACTGCGTACTATCTTTCCATCTACGATAGAAAAGCCACCTCACCTACTAAATTAGGCAGTCACATTAATGCCAAGGGCCAAGTCCAAGAGCCAAGCGCCAATGTAACAAAATGACTAATGCCAAAATCTTCCGAGGCCCAGAAGCCAAAATTACCTAGACAGCAGGCGGTCTGTTTCTTCACCGGAGACATGGGATCTCCTCGGGAAACGGAAACAGTCGAACTGCCCAGGGATCTGCGGAGCTGGCGAGGGGCGCTTTGAGCGTGATTGGCCTGAGGCGAGTAACTTTGGGGAAAAGCGTATTTCTTTACTGACTCACTTACCAAGGTTCTCTTGTTCTCTTCTTTTTTTCCCTTTATATTCTTCCTATTCACTTCAATTCACTTGAATTCAATTCTTTTCATATTCTCTACCTTTCTTTTAAAGCAAAACTATCACACAATTCACAATGGCTGCTACAAATGGAACCACCGGCAATGACTTCACTGTCAAGGCCGGCCTCGCCCAGATGCTTAAGGGTGGCGTCATTATGGACGTCGTGAACGCCGAGCAGGTATGATCTCTTTAACAAGGAATCGATACTATCCAAGTATAGAAAGACTAATAGATTCCTGCCTAGGCCCGTATCGCTGAAGAAGCCGGTGCTGCTGCCGTCATGGCCCTCGAGCGTGTCCCCGCCGATATCCGCGTTGAGGGTGGCGTCGCACGCATGTCCGACCCCGGTATGATCAAGGAGATTATGGAAGCCGTTACTATTCCCGTCATGGCCAAGGCTCGCATCGGTCACTTCGTTGAATGCCAGGTATGTGACAACATTATTTCCGTGCGGGGGAGGGGTAGACAGGTCGATGGAGGGGAAGCAAGATCTCCCGGTGGCGGGGGAGGCGAAAAAGTCCCAAAAGTAATAACATCACTAACAATCGCCTGCCTATAGATTTTGGAAGCCATTGGCGTTGATTACATTGATGAATCTGAGGTTCTCACACCTGCCGACGATGTCTACCACGTCACCAAGCACGGCTACAAGGTTCCTTTCGTCTGCGGCTGCCGCAACCTCGGCGAGGCCCTGCGCCGTATCTCCGAAGGCGCCGCTATGATCCGCACCAAGGGCGAGGCTGGCACCGGTGATGTTGTCGAGGCCGTTAAGCACATGCGCACCGTCAATGCGCAAATCAGCCGTGCCCGCGGTATCCTCCTCGCTAGCCAGGACCCCGAGCCTGAGCTTCGCGCATTCGCCCGTGAGATCGAGGCTCCTTACGAGCTTGTTCGCCAGGCTGCTGAGCTCGGCCGTCTCCCCGTTGTTAACTTTGCTGCTGGTGGTGTTGCCACCCCTGCCGATGCGGCGCTTATGATGCAGCTGGGCTGCGATGGTGTCTTTGTTGGCTCTGGTATCTTCAAATCTGGTGATGCTAAGAAGCGTGCCCGTGCTATTGTGCAGGCTGTTACCCACTTCAAGGACGCCAAGATGCTTGCTGAGGTCAGTGAGGGTCTTGGTGAGGCTATGGTTGGTATCAACGTGAAGCACTTGCCCGAGGCCGATAAGTTGGCTGGCCGCGGTTGGTAAATATATTTTTTTTGTCATTTGTTTCAGCCTTGATCATTGTGGTGTCCTAAAATTTGTTGTACATGAGCCATGAATAGATGTCTAACGTGACATAACTATACATTATACGATTTGATACATTTATGATTCTAAAGCAAATCTTGGAACTATTGCATGTAGACTATAATTTGCCTAGATGTAATGCTTCTACGACCCAAAAGCACACTGATTCACGAGGCTTGAACATAAGAATGAGATAATACCTCGCAAAAACCATCCACATGGCCATTTCCTTGGTGCATGTCGTGCATAACGCAGATTAAACTAACCCTCGCTATGTCACCTGATAGGCTCCCCGCGCCGAGGCACCCATTACCGAGAGTCTGGGGGAGATTCGTGCCGATAGCAAGAATCAGATTGGCGTTTTTAGTCCGGAGCTAGAGAAAATAGCCAATCGGGGAGTCGGCTGTCATCATTAATATCACGCCGTAGTCTCCGCCGTACTCTCCGAGGGTGGCTCGTTAACGGGAAATCACGGAAAAAATCATCGGGGGTATTTTATTTATGCTCCCATTCGTGGAAAACAATACTGTTATTGTCTGTTCTGCCAGTTGATTTTGGTGATTGGGTTCAACTCGTAATATCTACAAGAATAAGGTATTCGGCTAGTTATTCCGCTTCGGGACTTGACGGTGTGAGTCTTGGATAATTCGAATGTATACAACATATTTAGTTAGCTCGAGAGAAACTTTATATTTTACATCATCCTGTGGCATTTTTTACATGCGTTTCTGTGGATATCTTTTCTTCTCGATGTCATAGCCAGAAGGATAACAACATAAAGATCTAGATATATCTATGACTACATGGTCCTGACCCCATGGGGGCCAGAGGCCGTCAACAGATATTCAATGAATGATAGGTTAACCCGTGTGCTTATGGAAGAAGGCCATGTTATTGAGATAATATAAAGAAAGCGAAAAAATTAGAGACGAAAGTATGTTCTACGTACATACTCACATAGTCTGTCGTTTCATAGATCTCTAGGATAAGGCTAGCGGCCAAAGTGGTCCATGTAGTCACGTGACATTGTATTGAATAAAGTTAAGACAACAATAGCCAAAGGGGTGTAGTAGTTAAGCCAAACATTGGCGAAACAGTTGGGTTCTTTTTTTATTTAATTTTTCCAAGGTAGAACATAGGACTTGGTTATGTCTTACTCACTGGGCCACATATTATCTGAACAGGAGTATAGATAGATGTTGGTCTTGTACGTATTGGACCATAGGATTCCTTTTTGTACGGCTTAATAAATTGAAAAATTCTTGATTATAGCGCTCGGCTGAATGCAAATAGAAGCTCTCGAGTAGGATTAAATCAAGCTGCACCGCGCACGTCATGCAAATGGATATCTAGATGAACACCGAAGTTGCAGGACCCATCAACTCCAATCATCAGGTCATATATCAGCAACGCAAGCTCCATTATTGGGCATAATCGAAATTTATCCCACGGCATTTTAACCAGAAGGCACGCACAAGATCCAGAGACGGTTTCTGACCACCTCGAGCAACAGCGAGAGAGTCCAAGAACCGTGACTTTTCTTGCGCCGATAGGAGCGGCACTTGTTGTCCGTTCGCATCTGTGACTTGGGCGTTCAAAGAGTCAAGCGCAGCCTTCAGAGCCGGGCGCGCTAATGCCATCTTCTTGAAAATAGTGCGTCGTAGAGCATCGGTCAGAGAAACCAAGTCTGATCTTGCACATCGGCCTGCAATCTGCTGGATAATTGTATAACACAAGCGTGGAATAAACTCCTGATGTACTGATTCGAGTATGTTCATCTCTTCTGGAGAGCTGCTGCGGAGATCTATTAATGCAACCCAGAATGCAGAAGCAGACCGAAGAGGAAGTGGTTCAGGTCGCGTCAATGCGTGAAGTGTGAAGTGAAGAAGGACTGCGAGAGGAGACTCTGCGCCTAGGTTTGACTTCATGGGAGTAAACAATATCGGATAGTACTTTGGTAAAAGACGTGTAAGGAAATCAATACCGGCATTGGCGGTCTCTGGATCGTACACGTCCGGATTCTGGAGCATCGAAGAGAAGAGCTGAGCTACATGATCGATGAGCGCCTCCGCCTCACTGCGAATGTTCATCGCATGTGGAGCGTGAGATGCCAAAAACGACGAGGCAGTCGCCATGATAACATCTGTCCCGGAGATACCGAGGGGAAAGCTCTTGATAAAGTCCACTGTCATAGAGGGAGGGAAGACAAAAAGCCCTGCCCGCTCAGTATAGCCAGCTTTTAGAATGTCGCAGGCTGCTTCAATTATACCGCTGTCCACGGGGAAGCCGACAATCAAAAGTCTCATAGCCTCCATGATCAGGCGCTGGGCTTCGGCGCCCGGGCCGGAGTTCCAAAATGATGGAGGATATGGGTTTCCTTCCTTTATAAGCTCGATATCGATGACTTCGCTCTCTGAACGAAGGCCTTTTCCGATACTCGCAATACAGCTCAGCACAAGGTGTGCGCGCAGACGGCCACATTCATGAGCAGGACCAGTAACTTCTTCCCGTGCTGTGTTAGCTTCCTGAACAAAGAAGCCGAGAATTCTCTCTAGCGTTTGTACCTTTTCCTGGTCACTAGGCAAGCTCTGGATGATGGTCGCAATTCCTTCCAGGACCTTAGGCATAGTGGATACAGTTGCCGTCGGCTTGCTTCTGAACTGGTCCAGTTGATCTAAGAATGCAGGAAGATCTGAAGTTAAGACGCGGGCACATGACTTCGAAAGAGTCAAGATAGACCTTGAGGCCGCCTGCGCACACAACTCGAAGTTGAGGGATTCGAACAGGATATTTAGAACACCCGGAAGTAATGAACTGTGACGTTCAAAGTATGATTCGT